TTATTGTTTCTATGGTAATATAAGCGCATTTTAGTGAGAACAGGTGTCCTGTGGTCACATCAGAATTGTCTGATGCCCACCCCATCATGCAAGCAGATCTCTTAACTAAATGTCACTAAATATCAAAATATAGTTACACCAATGTGAGGTCATAGTTACTTAATACTTATTAAAATATAAAATTTCCCACGTAATTCATATGTTGCCAAATAAACCTACATAACAATATATCACTGCAGTGTACATCAGGTGCGACCTTCGAATAGGGACTATTTATAATTTCATATGGACAACAAGCGCATACATCTAATTTAGCACAAATCGACCTTTGTACCGACTAGGAACTAATGACGTGTAATCAACAACTATGCCATGGTACATAACATTGTACACGCCTACAATATGTCATTTGATTTTAACACAAATATAATATAGGTATTATGTTCAGTGTTTCAACCGATTTAAAAAATGAGGAAGTTGTCAATTAAACTAAATATATACCTAGGTAACATTTTTTGATGACAAGATAGATGTTTTTTTATTTAACTCTTTATTGCACCAGAAACATAAAAATATATAATGACAATCAATTGTCATTGTATATTATAATAAATCTGTAGAGAGGTCAATTCTATACATGAAATATATTTCCAAAATAACTATCAGAGGGTAATTAGTGATCGATACTGATGTCAAAAATGCAATCAGTAAAATTTTTGTCTGTCTGTCTGTATGTTCATTATAGAAGCAAAAACTACTCGACGGATTTTAACGAAACTTGGTACAATTATTCTTCATACTCCTGGGCAGGTTATAGTATACTTTTCATCACGCTACGATTAATAGGAGCAGAGCAGTGAAGGGAAATGTGTCTGTTACATCAAAACCAATGAACCGTGCGAAAGGACATAGGCTACTTATTTTACGAAAAACGATGGAAACGCGGACGAAGCCGCAGGCAACAGCTAGTAAATAATAAATAATAACTTTATTGCATAACCATGATTGTGACAAACTCAGCACTGGAAATTACATTAAAAGTAGGTACGAATTTATTTGTACATTTGGATCAGTTTAAACATCTGTGTCTGAACTAGGTTATAAAACCTGTATCTCAGACAACAGCGCTCAACCCTCGTATAATATTAGCTTAGCAAATTTTTCAGTACTACATATACAATGTTGATTTTATATAAAGTTAATTCATCGAATTATAACTATTAGTAATAATGCAAATTGTGAAATACAGTAACATAAATACAGATTGAAATATATACATGAAGTTTCAAAAGGTGGTCTTATCGCTAGGGCAATCTCTTACAGACAACCTTTTGTTATAGGAAAACAAATAGAAGTGGGTAGGTAGTAGATACCTTCGCCAATTCTGAATGTAGACGATTTTTTTATCAATTTTTTACTCAAATATTGCTCCTATTCACGTAAATTATTGGCAAATTTTGACATAAATTTTCATTAGACATCTTGAAATGGCGTACGAACTGACTATGCACCTGATTAAATGTAAGAACTTTTAACAAAACCAAATATTCACAAAATAAATAAATAGATTAGCCTCATGTGTTACCGTATTGAAGAACTAAGTAAATATATGTTAGTATTTTCAGTATTATATGATCCTACCCTCAGTGGCGTAACTATACCATTTGGGGCCTGTGGCAAATCCACACACTGATGGGGCCCTATCAGTAAAAATAAAATACTCAGATACAATGTAAAAAAAATCTGAGCTCGCGGCCTCTTGAGCCGAGGCCCTTTTGGGTCGGAGGCCCGTGGCATTTTCCCAGCCCTGCCACCCTATTGTTACGCCACTGCCTAGCCTAGGCCTACGATCAGCAGTGGAATGTTAACGGATGATAAATGATGATAGTGATTCCATATTCTTTGTTTGTATATAAATATATATTTTATATTAGCTTTCTACCCGCTACTTCGTGCGCATGGATTTCAAAAAACTTTTTTTGAAGTAGGTACATCAAAATAAATCAATAAAACAAATAGAGCGCTTCTAGATGACGTATAAAGTTGAAACAAAAATCAATTTTTAAGTTAGACCTTCAGGAATACCAATGTAAACCACACAAACTTCATTCAATTTCGTGCAGCAGTTTTTGCATGATGCCGGAACAAACAGTCAGACAAACTTTCTAAAAATCATTATTTTAACTTCTATTGCTCTTATTGACACCTGAAGGGTTATAATATTAATTTTTCTCCATCCACATCGTCAAGTTAATTTTTTTTTTATATGAATTAGACATTTCATTCATTAATAATCAGAAATATAAAACTGAAAATGACCACCCATTAAATAGATGACCTTACTCAAAGCTGTTTAATCTGATAATACACATTATTCTAAATATTATAAATAATCAAATAATATAAATAAATATGAAAATCGATTCTATATTATTACGATTGAATGGCATTAGAATCAAACCTTACAACCATTCGAGGTGATGTTACCTTGCATCAAGGTAGCGTCACCTCGAATGGTTAGTTGCGATTTTTGATTCGTATTGTATATATATACTACTAATATATTATTACCTCATAGCGTCTTAACGGCTTAACCAATTACAATGTTATTTGATATACATGTACTACGTGGAATGGAGAAGGACATAGGACACTACTTTTTATTCCAGCCAGTGAACATATCCTATGTTTACCGCCCATGGTCACGGTCCTGCGAACGGAGTCAAGGGTAAAAGCTAGTATCGAATATTCGTTATCCAATTTGATATCCAATCAGAACTGGTTTTTGTTTTCATTACGTTTTACTATGTAAACAACACGATCGTCAAAAAAGTCACACGAATTTATTCACCTAATGTTACTATCATCATTGATAAATTCTTTGGATCTATATAATATTTTTTACGGTTAATAAATAATGGTACGATAAATAATAATTTATCAAATCTGTCAAAAAATAATTTAATTTCTCCTTTTTAATTTGCTTAAAAACAAACATTTTATTCAAAAATGTGAAAAAAATACCGAAACTGACAATTCTGATTCAAAGATGAGAATACGAATGTTTTTCACGACTGAATCATTACTATAACGTTACGGTTTTTATTTAAGAGAGGCTTTAAATGAAGGGCGAGGCGAAATTACTTGGTACCATGACTAGACCTTTATGTCGTTGCTCAAAACATTCGACAACAGGACGCGCGTGTATTGCGCGCGTTCGCGACTAGATGGCCACCCTATTACACGGATCGTATGCTTCATTCATCATGTTTCTAAACCGGTGTTTCCCAACGTGAGGCCCACGCCCTACAGGTGGGCAATTTGATAGTTATTTTTTTTTTTTTTTTTTTACAACACAGGGGGCAAACGAGCATGCGGCTCACCTGATGGTAAGTGACTACCGCCGCCCATGATCACCCACAACACCAGCGGCATTGCAGGTGTGCTTAAAAAGGAATATACTCTTTTCTTGAAGGTTATGTTGTCGTATCGGTTCGGAAATACTGCTGCTGGAAGTTGATTCCAAAGAATGGTTGTGCGTGGAAGAAAGTGCCTTGAAAAACGCACGGTGGAAGACCGCCACTCGTCCAGATGATTGGGATGAAACTTTAGTTTGTGGCGGGTTGTACGGTGGTGAAAATCAGCAGCAGGTATCAATCAACAATTCCTCAGAACACTCCCCATGATAAATTCGGTAGAAGATGCACAGAGATGCAACATCTCTGCGCAGTTTCAGTGGATCAAGCCGGACAGTAAGTCAGTAGTTATGGCCGGCAATTAAAAAATGAACTAGAAGAATTTTAACCCACTTGCTCCGGACCATTTAAATACAATGCTACGAGTAGATATCGGTGCCAAATTTAACAAAAAAAAGTAAATAAAAAAAATACTATAAATATTTATTAGGTACACTTTTGTTTGACATTACCAAAATATCAACTAGGCGATTAGAGTTGTCAGGAAAAATTATGTATGGGTGCATAAAAATTTTAGAAATGTTCAAGTGGAGCATGGCACAAAAAAGGTCGGGAAACACTGTTCTAAACACTCTTTATAAAAAGATCGAATCAAAACCGCTAAATAGAAACTAAATCCTTCAAAAAGGTAATTAATTTTCAAAAACATGTTTTATTTTGCACGTTCACAAAATTGTGTCTGACGTTTTACTGTCATAGTCTATTCTAATAACATGTAAACCAAAAATATTTTTATACAGATTAGTGTTTCATCTATTTCAGCCCGGTAAACAAACAACAAACTTAATTGACACCTAAATAATGGTAAACAATCTAGTTCTAATTTCGTATTATTATTTGTAATCATAGTTTTTTTTTTTGGCCTAGATATATCATCTGTCCTCCAACCAGTCGCATCATTATATAGAGTATTAAACAATTGTATTTTAAAAAGAAATCATTCTATTGCCAGTATTACGTCGTAAATATTATATATGTACACTAGATGAGTATTAGCCAATGTTTCTTTTCAGGTAATTTTCCAATAATTTGTTTACATATATATTTATAATATTATTCACAATATTGTAATGTTGACAAAAAAATTAACGCTGATTAACAGAGTCACAGTATCCTGATTTTTCCTGGTATATATTGTCTCTGCAGTGCTGAATTAAACTATTTTCATACTGTCGTTAACAATATGTCAATAAGTATTTCTCAGATTTCTAAAGCAATCCTATAAGTGTATTTATTTACATATTACTAATGCTACAGTACTACCATAAAAAATAAATATTATCTACGACTTGAACATTTACTACCAAAAATACAACTAACTAGATATAAATAAAGAACTACTATAAAGCTTATAAAACAAATGTATTTAACTTAAAAATGTTAAAATTAAAATTAAATATCAATTACATTTAATTTTTAGATAAAATAAATTGTTACCTAATATTAAATAATAACTACAAACAGTACAAAAAATATGATTAGCCATAACTACCGTTAATAGGGAAATAAAAAATACAAACTCACCACTGCTGGCTTGTCCGCCCATAATTCGATGTCCTCAAATACGAATTCAGTTAAAGTTTCATTTCCAACTTGGATGTCACCCCATGGCGAAGTTAAATATTTATTATCTAAATCCGGTGCTGTTTGGGTAGCAAAATTTCTACCCAAAAGACACGGTTGAGTATGCTCTGGTATCACTCTGTTTGTCCTTAGTTTGTTTGCATTTTTTTTACATGGTGAAAAAATTAATTGCCGCGCGAAATTCCCGCGCAAAACTTTTAAATGTGACATCCTCTACAGCCGTTGGCTTGCAATGTCTATCCGCGGAAGGTCTGCGCGTGAATGTATCGGCCGACAACGACGATACAAGTTTTGGCGCGCTCGCTCGCCTCAAACGTCGCGGGCAAAGTCCACTCGCGTTAACTTTACTATGAATTTGTTTGTAAAAGATTTACTCCACTTGATATCAATTAGGTAGGCGCGAGAGACAAACAATGGTTAACATTCTATCATTACATGCGTAGGTAGGTATTGTTATTGTCTAGTTTGAATTCACGCGCATTATACAACCATAGATACTTACAAATATTGATTATAAAGATAGAAAAAAATAATATTTAAATATTATTAGTTTTCAGGGACATTTTTTCTGAATATAAACCAACACCTTTAACATTCGTAATAATTTTAAATTAGACGACCTCAACAGAACCGCGTAACTATTACGACGTTCACTTACGTCTATATGAGGTCTCAGGTTCATATTCCTTTAAACTAACTTACTAAATCACTTTCAGGAGGGAATCAGCCAATGTAAACTTCAAACTAGGACACAGAAGACCCAAGACCTAAAGAGCTTTTAGATTTAGTACACTCGATGGATAAATTGACCAGACTGAAAATCGAACCTATAATTAGAACATTTAATCTGTAATATAAAGAAACATAATTGTATTTAGGTACGTGTATATTATAAATTCTAAAGGTGTGTAAATATTTGTTAGTGAATTACACTTAATATAATAATAGCCTTGTAGTCCCGGTAGCGAATGGTTCACCCCATCCTTTCTCATGAGTATCGTAAGAGGCGACTAAGGGAATTTAATAGTCGAGGGATAGGCAGCAGCGTCCCTATTAAAACACCACCAAAGCCTAACTGCAGTTATCAACCCGCCTTCCAAATGTGACAACTAACCCCCCAAGATAGAAGCTTATGTCCAGTAGTGGACAGTAATATGACATGGCTGATATGATGATGACGAGTGTTGAGTGCATCGATTTAATTCTATGATGTACAGGTGGTCCACCTTGTACTTGAATACTACATGAATATATATACAACTTGACATATTGGGAATAAAGGGATTATTAGTAATGCGGACTACCAATCCCATTCTAGCAATGGTCATATCAGGTCGACCTCCACGTAGTCCCTCCTGGAAACCATCGTGCTGTATTCCAGGTATATTTATCACGATGAGCTAACTGACCTGCCTTTTCATTTTCATTTATCATCACTTACTAGTACCCCGCCAGCGTATACCGTTAGCGCAGGCGGGATTACGATTCCATTGACATCTAATGCGCCATCTAGACTTAAACTAAGCATATCAGGGGGAAAGGGATTATTAGTAATGGGTAGTGAGAATCCTATCTCTGGCAATATACCCAACCAGGTCGACTTCCTCGCAGTTCTCCCTGGAAACTATCATGGTTAATTCCTGATGAATTCATCATGATGGGTTAACAGGCCTGTTTTCATTCTCATCTATCACTGGTGCTCCGCCAGCGTATCCCGTTAGCGCAGGCGGGGTTACCATACCATTTTCACCCATCAAAAAAAAAAAACTAAGCATATCTTATATAGCATACTTTTTACTCTAATTGATGCTAGTAAACTGCTATTATAGTTAATTAATTTAATAATTCATTAATCTTTGTATATGCTTTGTCAATTTTGTTTTCTACATGATGACTCCTTCAAAACGAATAGTTACAACAATTTTGAATTACTTATTAAATTATTATTCAATTAGGTCATTTTATTACACTTATTTAAGACATTACAATACTGTAAAAGCAAGTTTTTCGAAGATCTTTTGATATGCTGTCATCGAAAAAATAATAAAATCTATATTAGGTGTGCCTAGGAGTAGTCAGATAATACTCGTATTATACCGGTAACTAGTTACCGTATAAGGTTGTAGGGCCCAGACATGGGCTAGTCGGCTTATTTCCAATCGCTTTCATAAAGCGTTTTTCTATTGGCTGGCTTAACCTGAAATAGCTTCAATAAAACAACCCATATATGTGTGCGTTAATAGTATGTAGGTGAAGGTTAAATGCATGGTACATAACATAATTTAAATACTAGATAGGTTCCCAAATTCTTAATTATATTCGGTAAAAGTGGTCTTCCAATACGCTCGCCCAGGAAATCATCAGAATAATACCATATATAAAAAAGGAATAATACTCATAAATTAATTTCTAAATTTATGCACACAAACACACAGGGTGTTTGAGTTTGAGGGCATTCGACGAAACTCCAGCAAGTTGGAGGTAAATATATACCAGAGGGAGACTTTGTACAAAAGTCGATTGCTTGGGTACCTCTGTCCCATTCGTATTTCTACCGTGAAGCAGTTGTGTTTACATGGCTGTGTTTCGGTTTGAAGGGTGGGATATGGCGTAAATTTACTGGGTACAGAGGAATAACACCTGAGTCCTCAGGAATGGCAACGCATGGAGGGTATCATGGGCGAAACAGTATACTCTGTTATGTTCATGGTACTGCTCATGTCTATAGGCGACGGTAACCACTATCCATCAGATGGGCCGTCAGCTTGTTTGCCATTCTAAGTTGTATAAAATATATATATATATATATATATATCCAAATAAGCGATAAAATCAGTTTTAATGGTTACCCCGCCTGCGTTATCGATATTTTATATTACACTGACGGGGTACCAGTAATGGATGATACCATAATGATGAAACAGATCAGTTAGCTCATCGTGACGAATTTAATAAATCAATCACGACAGTTTCTAGGGGGAACCGCGTGGAGGATGACCTAATAAGGCATATGTATTGCCCGCAATTTCCGTAACTAACAATCCCTTCTCCCTCCAATCCTATCAGTTTGACCTTTACACGATTCTACCTCAAAACTGACGTACTTGACTGATCTACCTTTGTCCCCATATAGTCTACTCTATCATCACTGATATCCCGCCAACGTAAACCAAGAGCGCAGGCAAGAGTTACCGTTTTATATTCATTCATTAAAAAACAAAACATAACCGCTATTATATATTTGTTAGACATGCTTTTGATATAGTTGATATTTTATCGTATGACCTACCTGTTGAGAAATGACTAGTGAGGTTATTGAGTATGCAAGCGGTGTAAATATCCTTTAGAATTATAAATATCGGTTAATCGAAGGTGACTGATAATATGTAACTACCTAATACGTGTATAATCCTATTATTTTAAATGTGTAAGTGAATCTGTTTACCTCATAGCACCTTTACGGTTTAACCAATCTTAAAAAAGTAATTTTAAAACCAGGCTTAAAAAAGTATGAAATTTGATATAGACGTACTGCATGGGATGCAGGATATATTCTTTTTTTCTCCGGTCAATGAGCATATCGCGCGCCACACGAAGTGGCGAGTCCCTTACAAAAATCACAGTACCTACTCGGTAATCAATTACGAGTACTAATTCCACATTTAATACCAGATCCCTAAAAACAACGTACTGCATTGAACTGGAAACAATGTAGGAACTATTTTACGGAACTGAACTAATAGAATACTTTCTAAAAAAGATGTAAATTATTACAAATTCAATTTATATAAAAAGACCCCAAAATCGAAGCTGAAGTAAAAATGAACGGAGGGTGATAGGTCACTACGAACTTGCAATTTTTATAGACGTATAGTTAAACTAGAGAAATAGACCGAAAAAAAAACAAAAACTAGAATATGGAATAAAATAAGTTTAGATGAAAAAAAACACCGTATGACATCGTTCGCAAATTGCACAACGAAAGAATAAAACATTTATACTAAACTAGCGGCCCGTCCCGGCGTCGTACGGGTGGACATTTTTACATTTTAAAAAGTGGCCATTAAGACTACACAAGCGACGGAAGCTTAAAAATGCAGTAACTTCTCCCGTTTTCCCAACATTTCCCTTCACTGCTCTGCTCCTATTGATCGTAGCGTGATGAAAAGTATACTATAACCTGCCCAGGAGTATGAAGAATAATTGTACAAAGTTTCGTTAAAATCTGTCGAGTAGTTTTTGTTTCTATAACAAACATACAGACAGACAGACAGACAAAAATTTTACTGATTGCATTTTCGGCATCTGTATCGATCACTAATCACCCCCTGATAGTTATTTTGGAAATATATTTCATGTACAGAATTGACCTCTCTACAGATTTATTATAAGTATAGATTAAATATAATTTATATTCAAGTACCTAAAAGACGATGAAATTCGATCAGTAAAGTAAATCAGTTCAAATAAAGGATAAGGAGATTTCTTCAGGCTCGACGACGCGTACGTAATGCCCCTGGTATTGCAGGCATTGGTAGGCTATGGTAACCGTTTACATCGTAAGCCGTATGCTTGTTTGCCAACTCAGTGGTATAAGAAAAAAAATAATACTAAGGCGAAAAGAGACATTTTACAAGGCACTTGCGTGGACACCTCTATTCCTTTCGTATTTTTGCAGAAAAACAGCCGTGTTTCAATTCGAACGGTGAGATACGATAGTAAGATTATAGCGAATAAAAACAACACTTTAGTCCTCAAGAATGGCAACACATGACAGGTGCCAAAATCCACACTACACTGTGATGTTCATGTTTAGGTATATGTAAAGATTACTACTTTTCATTAGGTAATCCATCAACTAATTTGCCATTCCAAAAATTCAAAATTACAAAAAAAAATTACAAACAGCAATTTTCAAAAGAAGTCCTCACAAAAACAATATAAATGTAATATATTGTTTTGCTTATCACATTCTTTGTTTAGTATTACTATCGAAATATATTTGTTTTCGTTAACAATGTTGTTAATATATTGATATTTACTTAAGCGAATGTAAATCTAATAATCAGTTATTACTGTAATATACCCGAAAGAAATAGAAGTTTCTAAAAATGGCAACCTGGCAACTTTGTCTTTTCGAATTATTATCATGTTACAAATGTAAATATGTTGAGTGCATAAATAACGATTCGTTTATAGTCACTCAGCATGCAATTCTAGTCTTACTATGGAATAACTTTGAAATATTAACAACGAGAAATTACAATAATAACAAAAAATGCTATTGAATCCCGAAACTTCTTCTTTTAAACTAAATATTTGTGGTAACTCTACCAATTTACATTGTCATTGCATTGTTACAATGTCTAGAAAGGGTATTTGGAAATTTGAAAAATTTGACTAATTTTTTTACTGAACTAGGTATTATTTTACGGAAGTCCATATTAATAATCCGAGTAAATCCATAATAGTAATCAATACTCGAATGTTGGCAGTGACACGTATACAGTAGTAGCAAAAATTAAACAAAACAATTTTAATCAACTAATCAATAATTCGACTAAGATTTTATACCAAAACCCCTATTGATATATTATCTACACTACATTAGTTAATAAGTACATAAACACTTAAAGCAACAATGGAATTTTATTTTTGTCACAATAAAAATAAATAATCCCTTTACATTATATGTCATATAAATTACTGTAGGTGCCTACTGAATAATTTACAACACACTTTACAATATAATAAAAATACTATTTATCCGTATGTTTTGTACATTTATGATAATAAATATATCTCTTTAGTTGGTCACGAATATTATGAAGTCGACATAGATCATTAATAACATTACATACTTCATTTGTTTAACCTTTTAACTACATTAGCCGGATTTATCCCAATGGTTTTTTTATTATATCATTGAATTTATCCTTGAGTTGTGGCTATAGCACTTGTATCGGATTTATACGGCAGTATTACAGAATAGAAAAGAAAAAATTATAATATTCAGAATATTTATAGTCAGAAAAATGTTAGAAATCAAGTACAATAAAAAGTTGTCGAATTAAAACGGGCGCTAGAGACATGACAACTGTTACAAAGCTAAGCGGTCAAAAGGTTAATATTACATTAAATACATATTAATAAATCAATCAAGGACCTTCCAGATCGATGACTGATGATGATATTTTGTTGATATTATTAAACAAATACATTTTTACTATCAAAGAGGTCAATACTATAATATGCTACTTTAGAAAGTAACGATATTAAAACTTTAGAGAGAGCATGCCACATATTTGTTGACAACTTCAATATATTAAAAAATGCCGATTTATACTAATAGATTATTTAATCTTTACTAAATAATCGATTAGATAAAAATATCGTTAACCGGCTATGACGAGACCACTAAGTGATAATTTATCTTTTTTTAATCAGGACTGACGGGTAATTTCGATTCGTGTCGCGCCCCAGACGGAACTCTATGTATCTAAGATTAACAATTGTTTACACCCATTAATCTTAAGTAGAATTATTGTGTCACCTTAGCGTAGTACCTACATAGGTACCTATTACAAATCCGTATGACGACAATTTTTTTTATCAGTCACAATATTTTGATTTTAAATTTTAAGTATATTTTATATCCTTCAAATGGTATTTGTTTCACGTACCAATCTTATACCTGATAAAATTTCGTGAAATCATAACAGCTGTTAAAACAAAACATGGCAATAAAATTACTTACATATACATTTAAATACAAATATACAATAAATACGAAAATAATGGGTACAATCAAGCAAACCATATCCTCTATTCTGATAACACCAGATTGTTATTTAATAACAGGCATCGGTTTACGTTATTCAAAATTTAAACGTATGTCATTATTTGGTAAAATAATTTGTTCTAAATTACAAATTCATCCCAACATTTGTCATTACGTGATACAAACGAAATATATAAGCAATTATTAACTATGTATGTACAACCTGTATTGTGTATCAAATTTAAAATTCATTAAAAACATATTTGACTACGTTTTTTGCGAGTCCCGCTTCTCCCTGGATTTCGCGGCGAAGGTCTGATGCGTAATGAGTTCCCTAAAGAAACCGTCCGGTTTTGCCATCAGTTCCGCATACGGACCCTTTTCTATCACGACTCCATTTTCTAGCACGGCGACTTCGTCGGCCGACTGTATTGTGCTAAGTCGGTGTGCGATGGTGAGGACTGTCCGGTCTCGGCTGATCTCTTTGAGAGCTTTGTCCACTAGGAATTCGGAATATGCATCTAATGCTGAAGTAGCTTCGTCAAGTATAAGTATTTTAGGATTCTGCAACAAATGATTACAGTAAAAAATAGGATATAAAAAATTAACAGTTAAGTGTTCATACATTTACGACGTTACATTTTTCGACGGTGCGTTTTTTCAAAAACTATTCGAGAATTTTCAATATTTCTGACTGATTTTGAAAAGTGTTCTGCATTTTGCAATCATTTACTTATTAACTGTCAATTAAAATTTCGATTTTGATGGGAAAAAAGTATTTGAAAAATTTCAAAGCAAAATATAAAGTAGGTGCACAGTTTTCAGTGGTAGATTTTTATGCAACATTAATTATATTTTATGCAAAATAAATACACAAAAATTATCAATTAGAAACGTTGAAAATTCTTGAATGATTTTTGAATATTTACCGGTAATTGCGAGGTTGCCATACTGTTTTGAAAATTATTAATTCTTTTACGAAATGTATTATGTGAATATTAAATTATAATATACACATAATACATTTATAACTAAACAATGTCTTTACTTAGATATTTAAACAAAATGTATATGAGGGGTCTTAACAGCAATAGTAGAAAAAGCAATAATTTTTAGAATTTTAGTTTGTTTATTCTTGCATCACACAAAAACTACTCGATATTGTTTTCACAATTGTATTCCTAAAGATCGAATTTAAAATCAGTGGAGTTACTCTGAAAATAAATTCAAATAGTTTGATATTAGAATTGATACATATCGCAATCTCGGATTGCAATATTTGCCACATAATAGTTCCTCATTGTTCTATAGATGTATAGTAATATAACTTGCCATTCCATCAAACTATTGCAAAGTGAACCCAACTCTTACCTGATTCTTAATTATAATTTCATGAGTGTCGTACAAAATTGTCATTGGCAATAGATTGCATTGATATCACATTAAATTCAAGAGTAAACCTGCTGATATATCTTTTATCTTAGTATACCATTGAAATATGGTCTGCTTTATTGGTTTTCCTACTTCTAATATCTATCTAATATATGTATATGGTAATAACTCCTAATGGTAAGTAGCACATACCTTCACAACAGCCCTGGCTATAGCAACACGTTGCTTCTGTCCGCCACTAAGTTGCCCACCTAAAGCGCCAACCTGACGTTCCCAGCCGGGTTCGCCGCTACCGCGCCTCGTCTCGTCCGCTTGCACTAGTTCGTGTAGATGGGCAGTTCGAGCCGCTCGTAGCCACGCGGGCTCCTTATCGCTAGGCGCATCATCTTCATCCAGAGCACCATACAGTATATTTTCCTTTATCGATCCACTAAATAATACTGGCTCCTGCAAATACAAACTATAATTCAGGTTTTTTTTTAATGAAATTCGAGCACATTTAACCGCAGCCTTCCCTATAGATCATTAATGTGATGCCTATACCTAGACCCCAGGTTATAAGATTCGGAAAAAAATAGAGTTACTAACAAATGTAATACTTATTGACCGATTTTTTTTTTATTTTATATTTATAAAGAGGACAATTTTTCAATAAAATATTTTATTGTTCGTTTTTTTTTTTTGCTATCTCTATCTGGGCCGCTCTAATGGTAGTTCAGTTAATTAAAATTATTTATAATATTTAAATTTCAATGTACCTGACTGACATAACCGATGTGACTTCTCAACCAAGTTGGATCGAGTTCGCGAATGTCGACGCCATCCAACAATATTCTACCCTTGTCAGGGTCATATAACCGGAGTATCAAAGATGCTATCGTGCTTTTACCACAGCCTGAACGACCGACCAGTGCCAAGGACTTGCCCGGACGAAGATGTAAATTGAACCCCTTAATCAACGGTGCACCTTCATATGAGTACCACACATTTTCGATGACTATCTCTCCATTAGGCCTTTCATTGGGTCTTAAACCACCTAAAATTAACAAGGTCATTTGATTTTTTTTTAATTATTCATTAAAAAAAATAGATATACATAAATAGGTAGACAGACGACGAAGCAACTTCGAGATTTTTCTTTGATATAAAATCATGCCATATAGTCCCGGCCGGTAGAATCGACCATCCCTTACTTTCCCGTGGTTGTCGTAAAAGGCGACTAAGAAAGTTCCCTTAGTCACCTCTTATGACGACGAATGGTCGAGAGATGGGCAGCAGAGTCCCTCTTAAAACATCACCAAAATTTAATTGTTGTTGCCAATCCGCCTACCAAGCGGAATGGGGGAAATGGGGATGGGGGGATCTTATATTCAGCAGTGTACAATTAACGGCTAATATAATAAAAAAATATATAAAATCATACAAACCTGAAACAGGTATAGTGGGTTCTCTATCAATAATCTGCCATAATCTCGTAGCAGCGCCTATCCCTTTATTCAACTCGGTGTAAAAACTACTCAAACCACCTATACTTATGCCCACATATCCGGCATATAAGAGGAAAGATGTTAAATTGCCCACAGTCAGTTGTTCGGTCGCCACCATTCCTCCACCATAGTATAGCACCAAAATAATTATAGCATTTCCAGAGAGGCCAGTCTACAAACAAAAAAAAATTATAGCAAATATTACACATGTGATATGTTACATTTAATTAATTGCATCTCACTGCAAATAGAACCAACATTAAATTAAGAAAACAAGTTTCATTACTAGACCATTTTATTTTACAACCAGCGATGAAAGTCCATGAACAAAAACAAATTCACAATATATTATTTTCCTAAGTATAGTAAGTTCTTTAAAAAATATATTTTAAGTCTAATAATAAAAACTAAAGAATACCATACCAAACCGTAAAAACTTCCGACTGCTAAGGACTCTTTGTATGCCAATTTAAGAATGTTTTCTATTTTTTGTGCATATGATATACATTCTGCTTTCTCTTTACTAAATGCTTTCACAGTCTTTATATTAGATATCTTCTCTTCAGCTAACTGTAAATATAAAGAAATTTATTTAAAAAAAAAATCATACAAAGTATAATTTTCATCACATAAGAAATAAATAGATCTGTAATTAGTTCAAATTATACAAACCTCACTAGTTTCAGCCAGTGTGTCTTGCATTTGACGTGTAATACCTCGTATAAAGCGCCCATACATGATGCCCAAGATTGAGACAGGTGGCACTACACAAAGGCCAACCAATGCTAATGATGGTGACATGTAAATCTGCATTAATTTATACATAGTGATGTAAAAGCTAATTTGGATAAAAATATTCAGTTACTTCTCTCTTCAAACATTTTAAAGTTACTAAAATACTTTAATTTTTTTATCAATATAGTTTTTTTTTTATTATCATGAATAATATTATTATTTATATTTATTTTATTATATTCTATCTATATTGCAATGTTAAAAAAAAACAACTAATTTCTATTGAGATAGCCAAAGGAATTTCACCAATCCTTACTAAAATTATAAATAAGAAAATGAGTTTGTTTGTTTGTTATCTTATGGTGCCTTAAGAACTCAACCAATCACTATGAAATTTACTATATAGAATGGAGAGGGATATAAGCTATTTTTTACCTAGTCACATAGATGAAGGCACAGATAAAAATCAGTAATATCATAAAGCATAATCTGTCCGATTGTAAACAGTTACTGGAAACTATATACAACGAGGAGAAGGGATTGTTGGTTATATGGACTATGGTTATAGTCCTATTGCTAGAAATAAACCCTGTCAGGTCAACCTCCTCGTAATCCCATAGGAAACCATTGTGCTGAATTCAAGGTTTATTCATCACAATGGGCTAACTGACCTGCCTTTTCAACCTCTCCTATCAGCCCCCACTGGTGCCCCACCAGCGTATACCATTAGTGCAGGTGGGGTTACCATTCCATTATCATCCTATATACGCCTGTAAAACCAGAGGTATTATGTGCATGTTGCAGACTGATCTAAACTGTCCATGGAGAATATAAATTATTATTGAAATAAATATAAATTATTACTAATTGCCAGATTATTTTCATGACACATGTTCTATGTGGACTATTGCACATAATTAAACATTTGCTAAATTACCCTTTATTATTTTTTTGTATTTTCTTTTAATTGAAGTACACACACAAAAGTATTATTAATTTGTGCATTCTTCAAATAAAAAATGTAATTCTTCAAATAAACAAAAATATTACAGCTAAATGTATTAAATGTTTTATGTATATTTGTTTACCATCATGCCTGTGCCAGCACAGACCATCACCAGTGACCGCAAACCATCACTGACATTCTGGCTTAAATTTCTACCAACAAGCTGAGTATCAGCAGATAGCCTGTTCACCAGTTCACCGGTTGATGTCCTACCAAACCAAGCTGGTTCTTGTCGCATTATAGCACCATATACTTGTTTACGTAGTGCCTGTGTCATTCTTTGACCTGCAAATTACAGAATAACATTTACTAACAATGTTATGATGATCAATCAACACTTATGAATCAACTTTTTATAAAATTAAAATTTTCACAAAAACTTTTCTTATATCAGTGAGAAGACAAACAAGCATATTGTTCACCTGATGATAAGCAGTTGCACCTATTAACACCTGCAATATCAAGGGCATTATGCAAGCTATATTTTTTTTTATAATTTTCTTTAATCACTTTTGAGGTAAATGAGTACTGTCTATCAAAGTTCTCTAGCCTTACATACATCACTTGCTTCATTCACTTTCATAACTTTCAAATACATCACCTCCAGAAACTCTTATTTTCTTTATCAGATAGCACACCATCTATATAATTGCTTAGGTTAATCTAGGCTTCACCTAATACTTCCACTTTTAACATATCTTAACATTAACAAATATCACTGACTACAAGATTAGGGTATAGTTTTTTTTTTTTTTTGAGAAATGTTTACAACAATTTTAGTTCTTACCAGATATTGACATCAAGTATACCCTGCCAAAATTGCATAAGCCTCCAACCAAGAATACACCACACAGTACAAGACAAAGTGCATCTAACTTCTCTCTGGCTGCAGGCAAATCATTAGTACTGCTATAAATTATATCCAGAACTTTTCCAAGAGAAAAGGGCACAGCCATTGTCACACTTGAAGATATTATAAGAAATCCAATAGCACCTGAAAAAAGAAATTATGAAACTATAATTTTTGATCACAATATATAGCCAGTTTGATTTCTAGATAAAAACAGTCTAGTCTATTTATTATCTTAGTTTAAACAAATCTTGGTAAATAAGAAAAATTTAAACATCAAAAGTAAATAGAAAATGTCAGTTTCTGATTTAATGAGTCAATTTATTTACAAGTGAAGAAAACAATTGCACATTAGAAATGTGAATAAACTAGTTTTGCAAAATTGCTAAATTAAGCATTGCAAATGTGGTACAAGTAGTTGATAGATACAAATGTCTCAGAATCATTCATTTCGGCAGTGAGTAGCAATAATGGTAGGTAATAGGAAAATTCGATATTAACTGATGTTTATGCTTCATTTTACGTTTATGCTACCTCTGTTTGCATTTAAAGTAGACTTGTTACATAATATTAATAACCAATTAACATAATACTGTTAAATACTTCTCTACACAGAGGAGAATTCTAACCTACTATTATGGTTCTCATCAAATAATTTGGTATAGTTTTTGCTCTCTTGTACTCTTACTTTTGTATTGTGTTACACTTTTAGCTGCCTTGGCGGTACCCACTGACCGAATGTTCTAATACCTTCTCACATTCTCTTAATTTTATCCTGGGATTGTGGAGTTACATAATAGGCAATCAAAATTACCATTAATATATTTATATTATAAATATAATATCTGAGTTATTTACAAAAAGTAATACCCTACTGCATCTACCTTCAATTTGTACCTAGCTCACTTTAATGGTTTTTTTTCGGTTAAAGTAATAAATCATAAAAAATAATGATTATCTCATATTCAGATTAGACTCATAGTACCCCTAAGGTATAATTTAGGGGTACTATGAGATGCTTATAAGGGTACCCAATGACCAAACTAACTTTAGTATTTTGCTTACCAGTGAGGGTCCATTTTTCAGGCTGAGCTAAACTAAATAATCTTTTCAATTCCGATGGCTTTAATTTAACGTTAATTTTTCTCGAGGGCGATAACGCAGTTTTGTCCTTTAGACTTTCTATCTGTTCATTTTTTTTCTGAGCATCCACCTGGCTAGTATAATTCCTTAGTGTAATACATAAATTTCTACTGTGGCTGTTGAACGATCGTTCATAATAATTTCGTAGGGCGGAAGCCTTGTGACTTGAAAATAACCTGAACCCGCGTTGATTAAAATGTTCTTTCTTGGTCAAAAATCTTAAAAAAATTGATTTTTTAACATATACATTGGTCTCAAACTGTATGTGCATTAATCGATGAAACATATTTTTGTGATAATTTTTAAAAGTTTACGTTTTTAATTAGTTTTCTGGTTTTTGAATAAGAAAAATAAATATTAATTACGAAATAAAGACTTGAACTCATTTGACAGTCAGATGTGAGTGACGTGACCTGTGTCATACCTGACAGTGTGACAACATTGAACAGACACTGTCATACATAGATTAATAATTAACTAATGTATAATAAGAACAATGTTTAGAAAACCCTATCTTCCTCACATTCCTTCTACTACACTGTACATTCTTTTTATCCACTATATACTCCTTATACAGTTAAGAGAAAATGGAGCAGCTCAATCTCTATGTATCAAGCACCATGTATACGTGTGTGATTCAAGCTTTGTCTGTCTACAAGGTTCATCATATTTTTCTAAAAACATTGAATATGTTTTTTTTTTCTTCAGCGTATGTGCTGTTGGCTGCAGATACTCCGTACTCCGTACTGCAAGCCCGCATGAGGGGAACGACAAAACGTCAGCTCTTTTTTTTTCAATGGGTGATGATGGAATAGTTACACCGCCTGCGCTAACGGTATACACTGACGGGACACCAGTGAAGGATGACAGGTGATGATGAAAAGATAGGTCAGTTAGCTCATCGTGATGAATATAGTTGGAATTCAGCACGATGGTTTCCAGGGGGGACCACGTGGAGGTCGACCTGGTTAGGTATATTGCTAGCTATGAGGCCCTTAGTCTCCATTATTAACAATTCTCCCTCCCCCCCTTTCACCCCAGGAAGCTTACTTAAGAACTGTGGCGTGCGCCCAAGAGCGCCAGAGTGATTTGGACCTCAACTAAGGCCACCGCACTTTAATTCCCATCAAGAGATGGAGAGTCAGTAGGTCGTAACGAATGGGAAAACGGGGCGAGGGATACGCTCGAGCGCATCGCGCCTGATCACGCGCAAATCGTGTGTCGAGGATTTTAGTCCCCGCCGACGCGGCGGCGAGGACGGTATGTACGGTGTGTAGGTACATTAGCGGGAGCGCCTAACGAATATTCCACGTTAACGAGAGGAGACGTGTTTGCCAAAGTGATTGGATCGTCGGGGTCCAAGAGTGCGTGCCCTGAGCGACGACGTTGAAGAATATTAAATATATTCTATTATTTTCATAGACTTAGTATAACACACTACGTAAGATTACTTTTATGATTTATAATATGACTAGCTTTTGTCCGGGACTTTGTCTCGATGGCGGTATATATTTCTTATCAGGATAAAAAAAAGGCTATAAATGTGTCCAACCCATATAGTATGTGTATACCAAATTTCACAATGATTGGTTAAGCTATTAAAGCGCTTAAGAAAATAAACAAACAAACTCACTTTTACATTTATAATATTAGTAAGGATATAGATCAATCTTAAATATGTTATATTAAGTCTACGAGGCCGATCCCCTAGTATATTATATACCGTTAACGTAGGTGGGGATTACGATTTTATTATTTTCTAAAAAAATATATTTAAAGTCAATAGGTAGAATGATATTTATCAGCAGGCTCGCGATACAACCTATCCTTAATCGATGTTTACCTAATATAATAACTGTCAGATTATCTGTCACTGTCATCTCGCAATTTTAATTTTTCATTTTATTTACATATGTTACTTCTTTTGATTTGAAATTATTTTGTTATTATAACCCATGTCCTTTTACCATGAATAGTTTATCTTTGAGAATAGTAAGAGGTGGTACGAAGAAATCCAAAAATTCGTTTGGATTTTCTTTAATACAAATTCCAATATTTGAGGTTACAGGTAATAAATATACTGTCTATCCCGGCTTTGCACAAGTAAATGTTTTTTGTAAGCTTTTTTAAAATTTTCTCCCATACAAAACTTGTTCTAACAATTCCAAGCATAATAAAAAAAAATTACCAAATAAATGCACCTGTTCTGGAGTGATCCTTTTACATACATTTTATTGGGAAAAGGGCATAGGCATTGGAGAGACAGGTCTCATACCACCCGCCCCGCTCGATATAGTTCTAATATATCCTAAATCCTTATGCTTGAAATATTATAAATGTGAAATTGTGTTTATTTGATATTTCTTGATGCCCTTTACAGAATAACCAATCACTATGGAATTTCATATACAAATATTATATCAGAAGGAGTAGAATATAATCTACTTTTTATCCCAGTCATTAAACATATCCTTGTCGTGTAGATAAAGTTGCACATAAAAGCTAGTACCAAAAATATTTTAGTGTATATGTCATATTTTAAAAAATAGATCATAATCAACACATCAGCTTTTGTACACTGCTGAATATAAGCTTTCACCATAAGAGGAGAGGAGGAGCTAATAGCCACCACACCAAATGAGATACCAATCGCAATTAAACTCTGGTGACATTTTATAAGGAACACTGCTGCTGTCAATTCCTTAACCAATAAAAAATAGACTTATAAATTTCTATCAGTTGTCTAGTACAAGCTCTGCTTAGTATCAAACTAGATAGTAGGAGGAGCCACTGTGTAGTATATACTGTACAGATTTCTTTTTAATTATTAATGTCTACATCCCCAGGAACACAACATTACCTATCTGACCATTTTATAATTTTAATACTGTTTCAGGTAGTCATGTAGAGTTATATGAATCCTTTAATAATTCAAATAGTCCTGATGAGCAATTGATAATATTAAAAAAAAGTTTAGAGGAGAGTAAAAATAAAACAGACTCTGTCATATTTGAATTCCTTGTTGTTGTATTTCTTCAGGCTGAAGCTAAACATCCAATAAAATGTTTTATAACAAGGTAATGTGTTTTAAACTAAATATAGTTATACAATTGTAAATCTTAAATTATAAATTAGGTAAAAAAACATAATAACATACTTGTTAGAGTGATATAGAAAAATAGGACATTCACCTACACAATATAAGCTCAAAATTGACTTGGCTGGAGTACAAATTCCAATTAATTAATTTTTAATTTTTTTATAAAGGTAAGTGCAACATGTACACAGAATTTATTTTATGTCATGTCTTAATTTAACTATAAGTTTTTAAAATTTTTAAAATAAGATAATTATATGAGAAAGTGCATCTAGATTTTCTTATATCAAAGCTTTTAATGCACATTCTTATTAAATTAATGAATTATAATATATTTAATTAATGAATTTTTACTTTATAACTATTTAGACACCTAATATTTTGATCTGCTTGCCTTTACAAAACATATATAATATGAATTTCTTTTATATATTTTAGACATATCACCAAAAACACATCTCTACAGCAACCTTTCTCGGATGTACTGGCCTGCCATATAGCTCAGTATATATCAAATAAACCCAAGTCATACATAGAGTATGTAGATGTTGTAATGAAAGTAGCCACATGTATAGAAAATTTTCCAGCTGGATCAGATGCTATCAGAGCTGTGGAAGTTAGCTTAACAGAGTACTTGGTGACTTGCTTAGAATGCTGTATTATGACATTAAGGTAAGTAAACGTGAATAAAGTTTACCATTGAATCTGGAATTAGTTGGGCAACCCTAAAGTTAAATACATATATAAAGTCTAATAATAATAAAGCAAATTCAAATTTATTTATGTAAAAAACACATTCAAATTTGAATTAAGTAATTGGATTCTACAGCAAAGAACTAAATCAATATTTAAATAATTAACTTAGAGGTACTTAAAATATTAAAAAATAATAGAAAAGTTTCACCTGTATTAAACTATTAGAGATGGTTTCAGGATTATTTATACATTTCTCTTCTAAATATTAATAACATAATTTACAAAAGTACATTTTGGGTTAGCATCTCTTTAATTTCAGTAGTAGCTTCATACTAATAAATATATTAATAATAATAAAAAGTCTTGTTATAATTCTTCTTTCTGTTATACTCCAGGAACCAACAAACATTATCACCAACTGAAAAGAATGAAATATTTGACTTAGCTCATTTAGCAATAAGATTACTTTTATATATTGTACAAAAAGCCAATACAAATAATTTAGAGAAAATAATAGCTATGTTTATTGCAATAAGGTTGTATATTAAAAAGTTAATGTTTGATAATGATGTTCCTATGGACACAAAGTCGGTGGCAGGGATACTATTCTTACACATGCATGTTACAGAGAAAGGACCTGATTCATGGATCAATGTGAGTTTGTCTTTTTATTGCTATCAAAATATTTTGCTGCAAGGAGTCATTGAATACAGGAGACTCAGGACGATTCTTGTGTATAAGAAAGCATTAGATAATAAAAAATAATAATAAAAAAGCTGAAATTATAATGATAAAGATTAATCAAAAGAAAGAAAGAAAAATATTAAAGTAACATTACTATTGTGTAAATGTTGAGTGAACCTAGATATTTTCTCTTTTATCCATCTGTTGTCAGTCTATTTGGCTTATGAGGCAAATTTAAGTAAAGATTAATGGTGAAATAAAAGTAAACACAAAAATTGTATTCATTTTTAAAGCAACTAATTAGTTATCATCAAGTTATTAGTGCATAATTTTGTTATGACACATTTAATGTTTCAGTTATTTGTATCTCAAGATGATGATCTTTACACTTTGTTAAGAAATGAGACAGCACAGTTAGCACTATATTCTGCTATACCGACAGTGGTAGCGACGGACAGATTACAGTCACAAAGTGTCGCAGGCAAGTCAGTTGTTATTGTGTTGACTCAAAAGATTGTGGCTATTGGGGAAAGGTATTGTATATATTTCGTTAATATATTTGAATGTCTACCATCCATCGCCAACTCCTTATCAAAAAGCGTAGCACAGAATATTATTTTTAATAATCTTTTCTATATTGGAAAAATGTTATTGATGGAAGAGTAAATCTCATTTTATATTTTTTATTTAATTTCCCTTACTTCCCTTTTCTCATTTATATAAAACACATTACTGTTAGTGCAAGCATGAAAAAGAGCAATACAAGGTGTATGTATGGGCTGCTGTCTCATATTTACCTCATTGTAATGTAATGAGGTAAAAATAATAGTAATTTATTCCAGTTACATGTGTTTAAAAAAATAATATTGATTGTTTGCAACATCAAAATCTTCTGTAATAAGAATCTATCACCGATTGTATTTAAAAAAAAAGCATATTAATAATAGTACATTGTAATAGTGGTAGATTTTTTATAGCTAGAAGAACTTTTTAATTCATAATAGTATGTATTTCAGGAATCCGTCTGAGTCCACATTGACGCTAGGTGTAACACGAACAATTTTACAAATCAGTAAGACTCTAGAGCGAGTCAGTGACGTCAATATCTGCTTAGAGTTAGTAACTGCTCTGTTGGAGTTTGTGTGGCCGCATCTAGACCACCATATGGATAGCGTTCGGCATCTGACTGCGCAGGCGCTGGCGAATGTCGTTAGATATTGCACTAAACTACAAAATCAAGGTTTGTGTACATCTTTAATATCAGCCATTTACAATGATGAAAATAGGCTTGGGAGGTTTTACCAGTAGTTGCCATGCTTGACGAGCGGGTTGGCAAACGCAGTTAGGCTGTGGTGATGTTTAAAAGGTGATGTTAGTACCCATCCTTCGACCATTAAGTTCCCTTAGTCTACTCTTACGACCCCCATGGGAAAAGAAGGCATAACACATATGCAGGGATCACACGGCTACGGTTTAATTTCTTCCCACACACACTTAGTATTAAACTATCACATCAAGCTATATCTAGAAATTGGCAAATGATTCTCTTTATACTTATTAATATTTACTAACATCATCGGTCTACTTTTAGTATGTCTGTTAACAGAAATTTAAATTATAAAAATATACACATGTTTATATACCTATTTTTGTTTAATGGACGACAATGGAATTGTTAGCCTGCCTATGCTATCGGTATACACTGACGGGGCACCAGTCAGAGATGATAAGTGAGGATAAAAGCCCATCATAATGATTTTATTAAGAATAAATTACGATAGTTTCCAGGGAAACCGCAAGGAGATCAACCTGACATGATATATTGCTGGCAGTGGGGCTGTAAGTCTCCATTATTAACAATTTCTTTCCCTCCTGTTAATAAAGTAATATCATTACTTGCAGGTAATAGTAAACCTTTAGACTGGGTTTACACCGCTTTGTCGTCGCTAGACAAGAGTCGCAAGAGTTACTACGTGAGCGTGACGTCACTGGTCAACTCGCTGGGCGCTAGAAACGTTATAGCGCGGTTCCCCGAGATCATATGTGACCTCGTCGCTGCATTGCACGTACAACCGGTTCAAGCTAGTGTAAGTATTTTATATATCTTCACAAACTCCTCTGAAAGGGGGAGGAACAGATTACTTATAATTTACCCTAACTGGTTGATCTCCACGCTGTCCCCCCTCATGGTTAACTCTTAGTAAATTCGCCGATGGACCTAGTGAACTGACTTCAACCTCTTTTTTTTATCCTGTAATGGTACCCCGCCACTATATACCGTTAGCATAGGCGAGTGCAATTTTCTATCTATAAAGATAGAAAATTGCACTAATAATCATTGAAAAAAAAAACCAGTGAAGTAGGCACAGAAATATGTATTCTCTGTATACTACCACTCGTTAAAAAAGCCGCTTTACACAAAACTAATATAATTCATTTAGTATATTTTGCCGTGTTTAGCATCTCACGCTGAAGGCGTTATATTAATTAACTACTTAGTATAGTTTCATTGTCGCTTTATAAATAATGATTATGATTAATTTAATACGGATTCTTTAATTCTGTTATTTTTCATTGACAGGAAAAACATTTTCACACAATTTGTTGTAAATTGAAAAATGTTCATGTACCACTCAAAATTCAAAAAGTTTTCAATAATTTCAGAGCATTCACTCCCTTACTACATTTTCATTCAGCATTCACTCTCTTGGCTATGTGGTCCTTGCATAGAGTAGGCCACTCCTTCCTATTCCGTTGGTGTCATACGTAAGAACCTTTCTCTAAAGCCAAAAAGGTTAAAGACCCCATCTTTAAAAAAGTAGTAGTGATTTTTTTTTATTTTTTATTTTTGTTTTAGGCAACAACAGCTCTCGAAACGTTACTACAAAATCACGCACCACAAGCTAGCACACAGTCCATTTATGAGCAGTGGATATTACCTATACTGTCTCATGTAGCCAACAGTACTCCGGACTCAACTATACTCAACATTCTCGAGAACATACTGGCTAAGGCTTTGTCAATCGATGAGAATCTCATTAGTTACATGTGAGTAAACATATAGACATGGTACAAATAACAATTAGTATATACGTTTCAATGAATAGACCACAAAATTACACTATTGCCTAATCCCTAAACTACGGGGGGAAGGGATTGTTAGTAATGGGGTCTAATGAACCCATTGCTAGCAATACACTATCAGGTCGACCTCTACGTGGTTCCCCCTGGAAAGCATCGTGAACAATTCTTGTTGAATTCGTCACGATGGGCTAACTGACCTGCTTCATCCTCATATATCATCCTTCACTGGTGCCCCGCCAGTGTATACCGATAGCGCGGGCGGGGTTACCATTCCATTATCACCCATTAAAAAAAATCCCTAAACTGCGTTACAATGAGTTATATAAATACTGATTATAAGAATCGTTTGTCTTGTTAGTCCTTTAGTTGTTCTGTTAATCCGACCGAGAATCGCACTCGAGAACTCATTTACACAGTCCAGTATACTACTAACAAATAATCAAATAATTATGGCAATTTTTTTTAATAGTTTACAGTTGCCATATTTATCTTATTCTAACGCTGTGTTACACTTTATCACACACACAATCAAGACAAATCTATATGTATATTTAATATGGTATGTGCTTTATTAAACATACTCGTACATACGACAGAAAATCATTACATTCCTTGTTTGGTAATTAAGTAAAATAGAGAGAATGCTATATAGTATTAAGTTCACCTTTTGTACCAGACTTTTTTTTTTGTAATGTGGTCAATAAGGAATAAATAAATAAATAAAAACTAAATTGTATTTTACCAGTTTGCCTCATATTAAACAATCATGCGACTCGCCTCATAAGGATATAAAATGTGTGCTTATGCTGGCAAGCGTAGCGCAAAGATCAAATCTCTACATTCTGCGGACGGAAGAAGACGGCGACGAAGACAAGGAATGGAGAGGACTCATCCGGTATAATGTACTCGAGGCAGCTGCCGTGGATGCCGTTGAAGAGGTTAGTTAATGTGTTATAATTTTAAATGATATTAATCTATTAAAACTATTTTATTAGATATACTGCTTGTATATCCAATAAAATTCATAATAGAAAGTTAAATGTATAAAAATTACTGTTACATTAAGACTATATTACGCCCCTTATTCATAAAAATTGTTTTTTTTTTATGCAACTTAATATTGCAAATAACCACTCCACGCAACTACCTTTTACTTTGCATTGTCACTATTTTACTGGGGGGGATCTGGTGTCTAAGATACAAGTTACGGCTTAGTTTAGGCTCCAGATCTCCCACAAATTACGATACTTTTATTCTGTATAAAGTAAATAATCTATACATTGTAATTTGTGGAGATGAATAAACTAATTTTATTATTATTTTATTATAACCTAATGACCCACCTGATGGAAACTGGTAACCGTCACCTAAAAACATGAGCAGTACCATGGACATAACAGAGTATACTGTTTCGACCATGATACCCCTCATGCGTTACAATTCCTGAGAAGTAAGATGTTATTCCTCTGTATCCTGTAAATTCACTGCCATATCCCACCCTTCAAACTGAAACACAGCCATGCAAACACAATTGCTTTACGGTTAAAATACGAATGTAACAGAGGTACCCAAGCAAACGACTTTTGTACAAAGTCTCCCTCTGGTCTGCTATAAAAGTGTAATCTGTAATAAACTATTGTTTTATCACTTTTCAAAATGAGGAATGTAGTTAAAAAAAAAAGATAAAACACTATGATAGCTAAGGCAGGTTTCGTCGACGACGTATTTATGAATCAATGGTAGTATTTAATTTTCATACAAAAAGTCAAGAATTTCATATTTGACACCTAAAATTTATAAAATGACAGAATGTTATTCCTATTCTTATTTTGCTCACATTATTTTATTACATGCAATTTTCAACAGACGCGAGTATTGGCGCTAGCGCTGGCGGTGCAAGCGCGCCGGCCGTCGTCGCCACTGACGGCACAAGAGCTTCGCCTCGTGCTGCTACACTTGCGGTATGATGCTGCACCCAATCCACACACACGTCAGCTCATACTCGCTCTTCTCGGGAAGGTATTTTCTTTTTTGATCAAGTTAGGACAGTTTCTGCGGAGCATTTAGAGACAGTCTGAGAATGTCTCACCAAATGTCGTAGCAAAAGGAGGTCAATAAAATCTTAGTTAATTATATTAATCTTACTTTAGTTTTTATACAATATTTATATTATTTTATTGTTTATATTTATATTATTTATTTATGTATAAAAATAAATAAATTAATTAAAGTCTATGCGTGATCGATACCTCCCCCCAGGCAGAGGGATTTCTCTGTGTATGGCCAAGAGGGTCCAAATAAAAAAAAATACCTCACATGATGTACATACCACAAAGGGTGATAGTAAATAAAGAAGTCATTTGGCATGTATAAACCAATGTATTTCTATTTGAAGGCTAAGCTAATATAGCTATAAAGTTACTAATACATAACTTCAGTTTTAAGAAATTGCGATACACATACATATACCATAAACATAATTGACAGCACTCCTGTACCATAATTTGAACATTATTTGACCAAAATTATCTTTTAAATAATAATTTTCATTTTAGTTTATAAAACGTTTAGAAGACAGCTTCATGGTACTAAAGAGACAAAAGGACTCACCAAACGCTAGCCACAAGATTAAATATTACTTGGAGTTCATCGAGGCGTTTAGACACCAGTGTTTTTCTAGTTTGATACAAGGTGCCAATTACAGTCGACGATGCATGGCTTTACAATTACTTAGTTGGTGCGAGAATGCACATTTTGAAGGCTATGAAAGGTAAACTTAAAAATATTATGTAGAAAATTGAATAATATCATTTTATTTTTTCATATACGTCCCTATGGTTTGAAGCCCTTTTTGAATAATTAAAGATCTACTTCTATTGCAACAAAATCAGTTATTTTGATCTAAAATTAAACTATTGAAGTGATTTTGATAAAATTTCCATTGAGCCAATCTCTAAGTATGTCTTTTAAGATAAAAAAAAAAAAACTTTCCAAATTGGTTCAAAACTGACAAAGTTTGAGGTAACAAACATAAAAAAGTACAACTGAATTGAGAACCTCCTTTTTAAAGTCGGTTAAAAAATGTATATTTTTGAACATTTTTTTTTTTCAGAACGTGGACTGAGGAATATGTTGAAAAGTTATTACTGCACCTGGAAGACAGTTATGAGAACAATAAAGCTCTCGCTTTGGACATACTCGACAAATGCCCCATACAACTGTTACAAGTAAGTATATATTTGCCTGCTGTAAATTGAAATTAGTTAAGTTAGTGTCGAAGAATTTAAATTTAAGTTTAATTTAAACTATGGGAAAGGATCGGAGAAATAAACAAAATGGATGTCTCTCTAATAATATACTCATAGCCATTATCGTAACCGTTATGCTATTAACACTACATATGTATATACACTGAATGATTCTATCAAAATTTTATTAATTGATAAACATTATCTTGGATTAATGTACAGGCAATTTTTTCGTTCTTATTTATGTGGTCAAAGCTTTTGCTTTACTTTTTAATTTAGAGACAAAATCATACAGAAATGAAATTGTAAAAGAAAAACAAACAGTCTGAATTGGATACAAATATTTCATTATTAGCGCATAGTGATTAAAGGTTTAGGTTTATTATTTTTACTTTTGGCAAGTATGTAGTGTTTGCCCATTATTACAACTACTTATTACACACACTAAACTATTATTATACTAACAAACAGGAAACGAGATATTAAAAAGAAACGAGACATATTTTGTTTATTTATTTATAAATGTATAACAAAAATACTTTTTTTATACACTAAAACTGTACAATCAATAACAATCCCATCATGCCTATACTAGGTTTATACATACATATAATTTGTATTCATACTCTATTAGTTAGTACAATATTGAATTTAGAGTTAGACAGTATTTTATTTTAGCTACATTCAAAGTTCAAAAATATCTACGTAAACATACTAGATATCCGAATAAGCTTGATGCTTTATAGTTACAGTATAGAGAAGAAACAAAACGTAACTTAAACAGTACCATCATCTGATAATGATTTATAACAACCATTATTTGGGGGTCTACCATGAAATGAAATTCCGTATTTTTGGACTTAATTTCATGTTTTCGTTCATACCTAAATCAGCCCTGTAAATAGAGTTTGACGTATCGTTTGTCCATCCTACCATAAAAGTACAAAGGAACGATATTTTAACATTTTTAAACACTATGTATTATGTAATTTAAGCATCAAATTAGTGTTTTGTTCGGCCCTGAAATGTCGGAAAACATTTCATGGTATGTCCTCTATTCACTGCTAAACATAGTCCCCATTGCCTATGGCAGCCCATAGACTGCCACAGGGAATGGGTACGTTCCTTGTAGCCGATAGACAATTTTACCGGTAGTTGCTACGCTTAGTAGGCGAGTTGGCAACCGAAGTAAACAGTACTATACATTTTATTATAGCTCAAGACATACAGTATCAGTCTGGAAGTAGACGACATTCTGACACAAGCGTCATACATGAAGCCAACCGAATGTGTGTCAGCCGCGTACAAACTTGATTTGTTAGTGAGAAGGCTGCCCCAGCGCATTTTACAAGGGAATTCTTGGTAATTTTTTTTAAAGCATTAGTTGGGTTTACTTATATTTATTCTTTATTGCACAAATGGCATTTAGTACAAATGGCGAGCTTAAAGTTATATGGCATTCTCTACCATACTTATCCATTCTTCTTAATTGAAATTGCATTCCGTATAGACGGTAGAATAAATATTTAATAAAATTACTAATAAAAAAATGCTTAAATTTAAGTTTAATAAATATCTTTCTTTGTTTTTGAGACTCCTGTATATACTAACACGGCGCATCCAACTGTTACTATTAACAATTTTGTTATTATTAAATTTTTGTATCACAAACACTACAGCATTGGTAGGTTTTTTAGTTTAGATACAGCTAACAACTTTAATTTCACATATATGTGGTATATGCATTACAGTTCCACTCCGGAGCCGGTGATTTACGTCCTAGTAGAGCGAATGTTGCACGATCTGCGCGGACAACTGCAGTGTGCAGTACAAAGCATCGTAAGCGCAGCACGGTCCGCGCCTCTACACGGACTACTGCACTGTCTGCGTCGCGCCCTGCACTCATTGAATGCGCGGTTAGTACTGACTTAATTTCTGAATTCAGTGTTGCCACATGAAAATTGGGTTTGCTGGAAGAAATCTCTATTGGAGATAAGCTCGCCTTTGTGCACTATTATGTTTGTTTTTACATTTTAATAACCTTTTGTGTACAATAAAGAATAAAGAAAGAAATAATTTTTTTTTTTTCTCAAAAATGAGACATTCATTTTTACTCAATCACAAAGTTAAGTCTGTTTTCATTACATTTAATGTAACCACTATGCGAACGACGAGAAAAGCTCCATTCTCTATACTGACTTCTTTGCGTCACGTTACTACCTTCATTGATATCGTTACTTAATATTATAAATGTGAAAATAAGTTTGCTTGTTACATCTTAGTACCTTAACGCCTTAACCAATCACTATGATATACACATAATATATGAGATGGAGAAGTACATAAGCTACCTTGTCCCGGTCACGCGGACAGTTTTGCAGGTATAAGCTAGTATTCTATAAATACCGAATCAATAAATGAATCCCCAAATTTCTTTACACTTATTTGGTTTTTCTTCAAACATTTCTAGTACAATTACTATTTTATTACTTTATTTTTCTAAAATTACGACATTCGGACATCAAATACAACACTTTATGTATTGATTTATCATAATATTTCACAGAGCTATATCCGAAGATGAACAATGGAGATCTTTAATAAGCCAAGTGATTGACACTTGTATGGAGGTGACGGCCGCAGTGGCGAGCGTGGTGAACAACTCCTCGCCCGAAGGTCACCTGCCAATGGATGCTTCCGGTGTCTCAGTCACTGATACTGGCAACTCTGGGTGAGTTCAAATATTAAATATAATCTTAATTAATATAAAAATAACATTCTGTATGATTTACAACCATATAAATCATACATATACCAATTTAGATTCTTTGAAACAAGAATAACTTGAATACATGAATTACGTTTTACCAGAGGGAGACTTTGTACAAAAGTCAATTGCTTGGATACCTCTGTCCCATATGGCGTAAATTTACAGGGTACAGAGGAATAACACCTGAGTCCTCAGGAATAGCAACGCATGGGGGGTATCATGGGCGAAACAGTATACACTGTTATGTCCATGGAACTGCTTATGTCTATAGGCGACGGTTACCACTTTCAATCAGGTGGGCCGTCAGCATGTTTGCCATTCTAAGTCGTATAAAAAAAAAAATACGTTATGATAACTCTACAACATTATTATTGTAGTATTAAACGATGAAATTTCTATATAAATTGAAAAATATATGCAGAAGACATATTTTCATTATATCAGTTTTTTTTTTATTTGTATTCCACCGTCTCATTCACTGAGACCCCTTAACTCCTCTTTACGCGAAATTTATGCCCAACCATTTTGAGGTTATAATACATTTAATTTAAACCTAAAACTTTGTCAGCGGCGTGATGTTAGAGGATGGACGGCCCGTGACAGCGCAAATGGTGTTACTTTGCGCCTGGAGATCCGTGAAAGAGGTATTCACATTAATATTTCTATTTATTTATTTAAAAAGTTCTCTAACAGAAATATTAGAGAACTTTTTAAATAAATAAATTATATATCTAATATAAATTGTCACTCATTTAAAAAGTTGTACATAAGCATGCCATTAAATGTTTTGTACTTACTTCATATTTTGCTTTAAAATATTTTTAATAAGTTTTTTGCTATCAAAAACCAAATTTTTGAATGATTTCTATTGGAAATCTTTATTACGATTATGTATACATATATCGTAATATGTATGTATAATGTAGAATTAATATTATAAATGTGCTATTTTTAAATTATTGTTTTAATTTTAAATTATTGTTTTAATTTTAAATTATTGTTCATCACGTTGCACCGTCAATTATATTTTCCGTTATTCCTGTCTGCGGTCGACTAATAGATAACGCCATCTAGTGATAAGACCGTTATTCTAGGTGTATTAAAGTTTAATAAATAAAAAAATATATATTATAATTAATTTCATTCAGGTGTCGCTCCTATTGGGCACAATATCATCACGCCTCACGGTGGAAGGCGAGGGAGGCAGCGGTGGCACGCTCTCGGCCGAACAGCTGCAAGCGTTGGGCGAGCACTTCACTTCTCTGCTAGCTCATACTAAGCACAGGGGTGCTTTTGAACAAGCCTATGTTGGCTTCACAAGACTACTAGCCAGGTACTTAATTTCGTTTTAGTATTTTCTGATATTACTAGGTCATATAATCTAAGATTTATTCATAGTGTACCAGTATTTTATATCATAGATTTTTCACCTTGACACTTCAGATTTTCTCTAGTTGGGTTATTTTGATCAAATCACAGAAAACACATGACATGCCAGCAGTCTGTGATACTGCCGCAGCGATAATATGCATGTTTGTCAGTACCTAACAATTGAAACTGTTTTCAAACTTTTTCATCAATGTTTGCAAATTACAAAAGACAAGGCCTTATAGTCTAAACGACTTTAGCCTGCTCTGTATATGGGCGAATTAAAAAAAAGCATATGGGAAGACTAGTATTGCCATATTCATAGTATCTATAGTGGTGCCACCATATACATATATGAATGTATATATTTATATATATCTCGACAGATTGACTCTGCCATAACAATACTACATACGTGTGTTATTAATCTGTGATCCTACTATAATAATAAGAAGCGCGTGTTGACAGACTGCTTTGTCGCTGCCGCAACAATAATGTGCGTGTGTGTCGGCTGACTGTGATTTTACCGTAATAACAGTGTGTGTTTGTGTGTCGTCAGACTATGGCGCTGTCGCAGCGCCCGTTTGCATGGACTGCCTGCATCATGGCTGCGGGGGTTACTGCAGTCGCTGGCGGCAGGAGGAGATGGTGGAACTCTTTGTGCTACTCGACGCAGCGCTGGACTCCCTTTTATGATACAGGTATGCACTTATTATGTTGGACAAAATAATTTAAATGAAAACAGTGCCCAGTGTGGGCCAGTGATTTTATGGTGATAATTTTTATTTATTATATACCGAATCATCCGTATTTTTTTTTAATAATGCTGAACTTAAGCCTTCCCCTATTGGAGAGTATTTCCAGTAGTTACCACGCTTGGCAGGCAGATTAGCAACCGCAGCTAGGCATTGATGATGTTTTAAGAAGGACACTGTTTTCCATCCCTCTTTTTAGTTCCCTTATTCGGCTCTTATGATACCCACGAGAAAGAAAGGGGTAGCCTATTCTATGCTCGAACCACGTGGCAAGTTTTTATTGTATAGATTACTATCTATTTTGTTTTATAATTTCATTAAGTATTGTAAACATTACATAAATATTTCTTATTAATAAATGTAAAAGTGAGTTTGGTTTATGGTATATATACATACTATATAAGGTAGTATGTACCTACAATATATGGTAGTAAGTACATAGGCTACTATTTGTCCCGATCAATCGACATATCTCTATTACATAGACGAGGTCGCGGGTAATATACAGTAGTTATTTATAATCTTATTAATATACCTGAGGGAGACTTTGTACAAAAGTCGTTTGCTTGAATACCTCTGTCCCATTCGTGTTTCAGCCGTAAAGCAGTTGTGTTTGCATAGCTATGTTTCGGTTTGAAGGGTGGGATATGGCGTGCATTTACAGGGTACAGAGGAATAACACCTGAGTCCTCAGGAATAGCAACGCATGGGGGTATCATGGGCGAAACAGTATACTCTGTTATATCCATGGTACTGCTTATATCTATAGGCGACGGTTACCACTTTCCATCAGGTGGGCCGTCAGCTTGATTGCCATTCTAAGTTGTATAAAAAATATGGTCATAAAAACCCAAATCTAGTAAGTCATAATTATTTTAAAATATAATCCTTAAAACAATTTCCTTCCAGGCAATAGTAACTACAGAAATAGAAGTGCAAAGTAACCCGAAGTGCTTCCACCAATGCATGAGAACGCTGCTCCGTCTTGCCTGTCCGCCATCTCTTCCTCACAAATACCAAGACGGCTATACAATCAAATCAAGAAATGCAACAGCTACAAATAATCATGTTGACAGTGATGAAATAATAGAAATAATTCCTGGTGATGTGTCAATAGAGACGAGAACGCATAGTTTAAACATTCTACGTGCTTTGTTTCGTAATTCGGCGCTAGAGGAGAGCGTTGCTTCGTACGTGGGTACGGGATTCATTGTGGCACTCTCTGGATTCGATGGTGACACTTGGGCGGTAAGCTTGTTATTGTTTTCAATATTATTTTCCATAGATGAAGAGAGATTATCTTGTATATAACAATTTGAAAAGATTAACTGTTGAGTTTCTTGCGGGTTCTTCGCAGCGGATAACAATATCTCAAACCCAGCTAAAAAATCATTAAAATAATAAAAAATTGACGATTTAATAGAGCTTGTAAAAAAGTTATAATTTTAATTTTACAAAAACAAAATCAATTCTATGTTTTTTTTTGATGGGTGAAAATGTAATGTTACCCCGCCTGCGCTAACGGCGGATACGATGACGGAGCACTAGTAAAGGGTGATTGATGAGAATGAAAGCAGGCCAATTAGCCTATCATGATGAATTCATCAGCAATTAACCATGATAGTTTCCAGGAGGAAACACAAGGAGGTCGACCTGGTTGGGTATATTACTAGCAATGTAAATATATATTAGTTATATATATTAATATTTTTTCCCGTAGAAATTTTATTGAAATTGGTTTAGTATTATAGTTTTTAAATCAAATTAACTGGTTTTGCCAAAGTTGAAACTGTTTTTTTTTTGTGGAACATAATTATTGATGAAATTAATATTAATCATCGTATATGTGATTGCGTAGGAACGCAACTCATCGACGCTGGCCCTGAGTGCGCTAGTGTCCCGCGTGTTCGGCGTGGCGCGGCCGCGTACCTCCAAGAAGGCAGCCTCCCGCACCGACACTATGACCGGTCGCATCTTCTTCCTGCGATACCCACGCCTCTACGACTTCATGCTGGTTAGTTATACTAAGTATATACCTATATATATATATATATAGTATTTTAAAACTTTAAATCGAACTACGCTGCTACGACGCTGTGGTCTTTTGTAACTGGATCTCCTTATTTACAATATGCGATAAGATAGTTTTCTCTTTACTTTCGAAGAAGAAGTACTTTCGTGGACTAGGCTCTGCTTACATTGCAAGCGAAAAAGGCCTCGAGTGCTAAGGGTTAATGGATGATAATGGAATGGTTACCGCACCTGTGCTATCGGTATACACTGGCGGAGCACCAGTGAGGGATGATGGGTGGGGATGAAAAAGCAGGTCAGTTAGCCCATCGTAACGTAGTCAACGATAAATTAGTCACGATGGTTTCCGGAGGGAACCGCGTGGAGATCGACCTTATAGGGTATTTTGATAGCAATGGGGACTAATCTCCCCATTACTAAAAATCCCTTTCCCCCTATATACCTATATAAGTAAAGAATTAAATCATACACTGTCTGCTGATGGAAACCACCATTTCATAACTAGTTTTCATCTAGAAAGGGTAAACAATTTTCACGACGAAACCTCTATGTTCAAATTTTTCAAGCCTTCTGGTTTTATTATAATAGCAATATATAATTGTAAGAAGCAATTATAGTGGTATCCTGCATTTTTGTTATTTTGTTGAGAGAGGGACTGACTGAAAACCAGCGCTGTGCAGCTGTTCACATTGCGCTAGGACACTCACAGCATCAGCTGAGCCGGTTCCATTTGCCTAGTATAAGACGCTTTTTGTATATGTATTTTCTATATTTTATATTGTGATTGTGTGTTTACTATTATTATGCATTCTTCTATTCTATAATACCTAAAGGTTTTAAGAAATAATTTATATTTTAGGAAAAGCTAAAAGAGGCGAGTACAAGTGAGGATAGTCAGCTCCGTCCATCACTATACCCGATCCTACTGTTGCTAGCTCGCCTGTACCCGTCTTCACTTGAAGGCACAGTTTCCACCCTGAAGCTGGTGGCTTTCATACCGCATGTGCTCTCTTGTGCGAGGAGTAGCGTGCTGAAGATCCGACAACTGGCTGCTAAGGCTATGGTGCCACTTATATCGCCTGAACAGTAACTATTATATTTGTTTTATTTATATATTTTATTAACTGGGTGAGCTTTAGTCTCCCAATACGCTCACCCAGGAAAGCATCGGTACAATAACACATACTTTACAATTAAATTGAATAATATTAATATGATTAACAATAATAAAAATAATATTAGATTTTAAATTTCTGAACACAAACACTCTGGTCAACCGATTTATAAACTTTTATTCAATTTTTTTCATTCCTATTGTAATTTTCGTTCAAAATTTGTTATCATATCTCTTAACTCGCATGTGATTGAGCTGAAGTTTATTAAGGCTAGAGTGGTATTGATGAATTAGCGTGCACATCAAATGAGACTGTGGTCAAACGCGATAGATTTCATAATTATAAAAATCTATATTGCTTCAGTGACTATTCAATAATATGGTAGCATAGAGCCAGTCTGATCATCAGAACTAAACCTAGATTATAAATTACTTCATAAAAACTTTGTGATGTAATAATGTAATTCATTCATATTTGATATCGTTAATTTTCTTTTACCGGCAAATTTATATAATTTAAAAGTTAACCTAAGGTGTCACATTTACATAGTAATGTAATAATTTATACCTATAGTCATTTACGCTATTTCTTACAGATACATCCCGCATCTGGAAATGACGCTTACTATAATAACAGATGTAAACATAAAACGTAACTACTGCCATGGAATACTACTCCAATTGGTGAGACTGTTCGCCTCTAAGCCGGAACGACTCTGCGAGGTGCAGATATCGTGCCTCTCACAACTCTTAAGGAATACCCACTGGATATTAGAGCAAGCTGTGACGGAAAATCCTTGTTATTTGCTAGCTGATGAATATGTGAAAATGATTAATCTGGTGTTATGGAGGTAAGGATTTCTTCGAATTTACATTTTTATCTATACTAATACTACAAAAAGGAAAGATTTGACTGATTGTTTGTAATGGATAAATTCAAAAACTACTCCAACAATATCAAAACTTCTTTCACTTATACAACGCTACATTAGAGATGTAGGATGAAATCTCTGGCGAAGATAAATAATAGATTTACCGACCTAACACAATTATTTTCTCATTTCTGCTTAAAATGAGTTTAAGTATAACATAATATGTATTGCAGGTTTCCCACATTACTCCAAAAAGAAATTATATCTAACATTGAAACTTCTCTAGAACAACTGTTATTCACTAAACAAGTGCCCATCATTGATTCCGGAAGAGACATATGTTTAGCCAACGCTTTATATCTTTACATAATTATTTTACATAAACAAAATATTAATAAAATCCCCGATACGATATATAAAGGGCTATCTCACAAATCTTATGAAGTAATATTGTCTACATTGAATTATTTGTTGATTTTACACAAAAATATTGAAAATGACAGCTGCAAATTACAAGAGCATTTATATTTATTAGCTGATGATAGTGTATTAAAAAAACTAAGAGAAAACCACATGTATATAGAGACATTATGTGAAGTATACAAGAATAGCAAATATTTAGAATGTATACAGAAAACATTGAAAGTGTTAACGTTAGAGAGAGATACACAAAAACGTATTATAGAAATTAAAAGTAATATTACAAACATATCAGATGAATGTACAATAAAAAAATTAATCGAATTTGTTCAAGATGAACATTATAATCTGATTCATATTTATTTGGAGTGTTTGTCGACTTTTGTATCTAGAAAAATAAAGGAGAGTGATTTAATTAGAGACACTATATTGAGCGTAATAAGGGTGATATATGCGTGTAGTTCATCCGATAACACTGAAGATACGAGAAGCGTGGTTGTAGATTTCCTCGAGAAAAATCTAAGAGAGTTATCAAATTTGAATTTAGACGGGATGAGTGATGAGGATAAATGTGAGTATAGAAATTGCTATAGTTTATTTTTTTTTTTTTGTAAGATATATTTAAAACACATTTTGTTTACATATACCACTTTGCTACTTCAGCGCTAATACAGTTATCGATTAAGCTGCCATTTGCACCCGCTTCGAAATTATCATACATTGATTATGGCGTCTCACTCAAGATTTGCGGATTGAAACCCCCTCGCTTCTTTTTTTTATACAAATACCAATTTCTCTCAATGTATCCTGAGAACTGTCTCTCCAATATCGTGTTGTCTTCTCAATCCTTTAAATGCATTTGCTAAATTATCTCATATCATAAAAATCATTTATATATATATATATATATATATATACGATATCTTCGCTAATTCTGAATAAATTTTTATAAGTTTTTGTATTTACTTTGTCTATAAAACTTAGAATGGCAAACAAGCTATCGACTTATATGTACTCGATAAAAATGGTAACCATCGCCTACAGACATGAACAGCATTCCCGAGGAGTAATTTCCATCGTAATATCCCATTTGTTAAACCGAAACACAGCTATACAAGCACAGCTACGTTTCGCTGGAGAAACATGCGTGGCATAGAGGTAGCCATGCAATTTTCTTAGTATCCGTCTTGTTCACTTCTTTACTGTAAATGGTCCCATATTTGTCGTAAAGTCGCTGTTCTGTAAATCAAAATCTTATTAAAGCAATTATTTCCACAGTCGAGTATAAAGCGACTCTATTAGCGACAACAGTAACTCTCCTTGAGGACGATGAAGAATCGCTGCGACAACGAACCTCAAACACAGTCCTACAATTAGTTAACAAAGAAGTTGTCACCACTACAGTGATACCTAGTAAAGCTGCTGAGCTGTTGAGAGATTATATAGAGGAATTCACTGAGCACAATATGGCTATATTCCTAGTGTTAGCCCTTTTGGATTTTAAATCTGAAGTGTGTTTAACGGACGAAATTACAGATGAGGTAAGCCTAATATTAGTATTTTTTTTTCTTTATTACAAAATACTACCTGTAATGTAACTTGTACACGTAAATCGCGTTCCTATACCTTGTATCTGGATAAATAAATTTTCATCTAAAAATAACTAAAGCCTATTTACAGATTATTTTTAGTACAGAACCTTAGGTGTATGAGTTAACCTCGCACTTAACTATTTTTTTTTTGAGACCATTAATAAAACACTTAAAAAAGTAAAGTAGTAGTAGTAAAGCAACTTAGATTGGTAAATAAACTGACGGCCCACCTGATGGAAAGTGGTAACTGTATAGACATAAGCAGAACCATGGACATAACAGTATACTGTTTCGCTCATGGTGTTCCCCATGTGTTACCATTCCTAAGGACTCAGATGTTATTCCTCTGTACCCTGTAAATTAACTGCCATGTCCCACCCTTCAAACCGAAACACAGCCATGCAAACGCAACTGCTTCACTACACGGAAACAGGAAAGGGACAGAGATGCTCAAACAAACGACTTTTGTACAAAGTCTCCTTTTGGTAGAAGTTACTGTTTATCTACAATAATTTTCAAATATTCACTGCATAATTACATTTTTGTTTTGCCAAAGATTGACTGGAAGAGAATGTTATATAGTATTACATTCGCCTTTTGAACCAATCATTTTTTGTGCGGTCAATAAAGAATAAAACAATAAATGTATGTCTGACAACTCACATGGTGCAATATTAGAAATTTCCTTGCATAAATCAGGCTACAATCGATTCTCAACCGAGCCAATATAGAAATAAGAATTTAAAAATCACACTTGTTTACAGTGCCGTGTATTCGACCAAAATGAACGGTACAACATATTTTTAGAAGAAAGTATCTTGACCAGTGAATGTGGTGATAAAATTTTGCAACTGTGCGGTAAACAGAGTACCAGTGTAATCAAGTATATACTGGCCATTTTGGATAATAATATATACAAAAGAACATTCGAGAATTTGTGCAATAACCATATAGTTACATTAAGAAAAATAATAGACGGTGATTTGACGTATAAAAACAGTACCACGAACCCTAAAATAGAATTGCTTTTAAAGAAATTAAGTACCTAAATTAATATTTTTTACAATGTGAAATAATTTAATAAAAAAATTATTTGATAAATTTTTAACATTTATTTACAAGTACTTATTATGTTCATAAACTCACAACTAAGAATACATAAATATTTTATCACTGAACATGAATCTATACACTGTCATAATGTACAATAACTGTATTGTAAAGTATGTCATATAAATTTGTACAAATTCGTGATAAAACAGATTAATAACTGTATTAAAAATTAAACTAATTTATTAAAATTTACAAAAATATATAACATCTTACACAATATCTGTATGTAACAAGGTAATTAATACAATCATGTGTTTAAAAACAATGTATATGTACCTACACGAAACCAAAATCAAACAATATTGTAAATTATATATTAGGGAATTAATGAGTTTTGCTGAACGCTTGCTATACCGAGTAACATTCATTTACATTGCATTCCAATACTTAATTTTATTTTCACTCCTTATAAGATTTCATACCCCTAAATTCTGAACGCATACAAATTCAAAACTAATTAATTCTCAGACATTCATACCATTTTATTTCTTCGTATCCTAAACACTTCATTTGCAACTTGACTATTTTTGAACTTTATTTTTTGGTCTTTTTTCTCTGTAGCATTCTGTGTAGCTATCATCTGTTTCATCTCTTTTACACTTTTCTCAACATTCTCATGTCTTGTCTGTGTCAGTCTTTGTAATTTACTCCTCAGACCCTCTTCAGAAATGTTCTCTTCATTATCATTGAACAAGTCTTTCACTGATACAAGTCTATGTGAATTGCCTACTCGCAATAATTTCTTTAAATTTCTGGAAGCTCTTTTCTCTATGAGCCCTAACACGCCCCAGTCATCTGACTTTTCACCTTCTAAACCAGCTTCCAACTGCCATGCAGCATTTCTTACTTCCAATTTGAACCGTTCACATTCTTCAAAACTGACATTCCTACTAACATTCAATGCGGGTTCTAAAGGATTAACAATATATAAAGGTAATGCATTAGGTTTCCGTACAGGGTGCCCTTCGATTATAGATATAGCTTTTTCCTGGAAGTCAAATTGAGCGTAGTATTCGAAAAACTGCAATAACAGTGTTTCGAGATTGGATTGGTTCTGGCTGTAACATTCTAGTGGTAATTTATTCATATCACGGAGGAATGTGCAGTTAACATTTTCTTCTGCAATTCTTATGTCTTCTTTTCCTATAGCAAATGAAATTTTGTGAAATAAACAGAGACAAGGAAGTTTGAGCAGTAACAGTAGCTTCTGTTCGTAAAATTGCTTATCAAAAGAACACAAATTTTATCTCAATTTCCAATTCTGATCATTAGTAAACAAAAGGACCAACATTTAGGAATTTATTATATTATTATACATATCTATTTTGTTTTAATATAGTATAATGATAAGATAGATAAAGAACATTCTAACTCAGTAGAGTATTTATACATAATACATACCAGCTCTGTTAACCAGATTTTTAAATGATGGTAATATAAATCCATCATTAGTTTTCTGCTGAAGGAAGAACAGGACCATCAGAGTCAATGGGAAATTTGTGATCCATCGACCAGGGTGCTGGTTAGTAAGACCCACAGCAGCTGCCCAGCGACGAACTAAGAAAGTCAGCGGCCGTACTCGGGGGTCCAGTGACCCGTACATCCAGAGAAGTTCAGACATATGTACACCAGACCTTAAATTTTAATTGTTAATCAAAACTTTGTATTAAAAGGAAAGCTAACACTAAGGCTAACATTTTAAGCGCCGAAGATTTTACAGTACCCCTTCCCCCACCCCCTAAACGATAGGTAACATCCAAGTAAATTTTTTTTAAAAGAACACTAACCAATACTAACAAAGAAAACAAAATAAAAATAACGTATAATACAGTCGAGGGATTCCCCTTAAAACATAAAAGAAAAGGGTTGCCATTTTGGGAGATCTTTGTCGTGTGGGCATAGAATGAGACACCCCTTCCTTTTCAGTGTCGTAAGAGGTGACTAAGGGAGGGCTAGGGATGGGCAGCAGCATCCCTCTTAAAACATCTCTAAAAGCCTAACTGCAGTTGCTAACTCGACTGCCAAGTGTGATATATGGGAAGTCTAATGTCCAACAATGGACAGTTAATGGCTGAAATAATATTAAAATTACTATTGGTAGTCTCCCAAATAAATGTATATTTATACTGGGCGTATGAGATGCATATTGCTATATCTGTCGTTTCTCCTGTCCCTGATGTTGGATATCCAAATTACCAAAAATAAACATAACTTACATATTGTTATAGCAAAGGTCACAGTCTATATTAGTGAACTCGTGTGCGTATTTTACGATGGGCACACGCGCATGTAATATCCGCTGTACTCTTGTTGCTCCAACAATCCTTAGCTCCAACAACTCGCCCACCAGTTCCATATGTCGCTGCCATGGCCCTCGACCACCTTCAGACTTTTTTTCTTGGTATACTAAACGTTTGGTGGGATCACTCTGTAAGGAAATGTGGATATCAATTATTTGTAAAAAAAAAAATTAATAAATTTAGCATATATTGGTTATTATATTTTCAATTATATATTTAATAAGATATTGTATGTATTTAAGTACCCATGTTTAACACAAACAAAATACATAATAATAATAATAATCTTTATTCAAAACAGTAAGTTACATTAAAATAGTAAATACAAAATATAGTAATTTTTTTTATTTGGTTTTTGTAACATATCTATTACTTTATTTACTTAATTTATATTATAAAGAAGAAAGATTTTCTTGTTTGTAATAGATAAACTTATTACATAAACTACTTAACCAATTTGAAAAATCCTAAAACCTATATTATCTTTATCATTATTACATGGGCTGTAATTCATTTTTAAAAAACTGTGAAGTGTCATAAGGGGTTATTAGTTCAATTACAAAGAAAGACCTTAAAGTTTATTCTAATTTTATAAAGATATTTTAACTCTATTGCATGGATTTCTGGCATAAAATAAATTCAGAATTCAATATTTGCTATACATAAACAAAAATGATGAAACATATCATTTTGATGTTGTTTTGGGTAACTGTATTTGACCAAAAATTGAAATGATATTGTCTGACTGTATGGTTATAATTCAGAAAATCATACCTATTCATTTCTTATGTAATTTATTGAAAATACTTCTACCCTGATATTGTCTATGTTTTCAATTATCCTTAAATTATTTCTCATTTTTTAAGATACTGCACCCATATGAAGAAAAATCTCTATTCATATTGTACCTCATATTATTTTTTACATAACTAAACAAGACTTATAAATATTTTTATTATTATTTAATATAGCTGAGACACCAATATCCAAGCAGCTATACAACTATACCAATAACTTACCATTTCATCTGTCAAGTTGTTACTTAGTACTAGATCCAAATCGCAGCCCATTTTGCCAAAGCCGTTTACTGATGAACCAAAAGGTCTCACAGCTATGTTTGCATATAAACTTTCAAATACTATTTCTAGCTGCAATAAGTATAATTTAAAATTATATATACATATAACATAATCTTACTGCTATTATAAACTAGAAAACTTGAATGTATGAATGGATAAATGTTTGTTACTGTTTTACATAAAAATTACTGAACAAATTTGTCATTCTTATCGGTTTTTTTTATATGGATAGATTATGCTCCAACTTACAACATAGGAAATTTACTCTCTTGAATTATTACATGAACACATGGTTCTTTACATAATGATTCATGTGGACTAAGCCACAGGATACAACTAGTATCATATAAACTCTCTGATAGGATAAAATTATTTATTTATTGCAAGTTAACACTTAAATAGACAATACATATTCTTAGTGCCGTGAAACTACTTGGCAATATCTCTGCAGCTTTGCGCTCTTGTACATACAGCTAAATAAATAAATGAATTATTATGTTTAAGATACTAGCTCTAATTTTGTCATGTGGCTTTGCCTGCCTGATCAGAATTAAAATTATCCTGTGGGTTTATCTAAGATATATTTTATATCAAATGCCATTCAAACCTATCTATTATTTTTAATGTAACAAATACAGTTGCATAATTTGTAACAATTTGTTACTTCTCATTTTTTCATTATAATACCTTTTATATTAATTATTTTATTTTAATTATTTAAAAGCAATCTATTATTAAAATCAGGGCTCACTTGTCTAGCCACCATGTATCTCAGTCTAATACCCAAATCATTTAACATTGTTTTATCATACAACAGCTGTATTTGATCAGAGACTGTTGAACAGCTTCCAAGCTCTTCACAAAGTAAGTTTTCATCAATGGCAGCATTTCCATTTTTTGTTATGAGGGTATTTGAAGTTGGTGCTATCTTTTCCTTCTTTCCAGAGCAAGCTCTAAACCATAGGAAAGGAGACTGTAACGCCATAATATCATTATCTTTCTGATGGGAACCACAGCTGCGTAGAATCTCTTTAAGGTTGTCTTCTGTACTAAATTCAATGAGCATAAAGTGCTGAAAAAGTAACCAATTAATAATTATTGTTGCATTCATTTATACTATACATGACACAAAATTAAATAATCTTATCAACAAATTTATATAACCAACAAGCTTACCTCTCCTCCTGCATTTTTGTAATGATGTATGCCATTGATTGAAGCATAATTTGAACAATACCCATATAATTCATTAAATGAGGATTCAGAATTCACTTGTACGACAAGACTTCGTCGTGCTTCGTCTCTTCTCTGCGATACAACCTCATCAAATGACAAAAATTTCTTTGAAACATCTGAAATGCATAAATATACATAACCTCGAAAGAACCTTCAGATTATAAGAATTTAATATAATTATAGAACCACTACCTGAAGATTTTCTTCTTAATAAACATGTACATGAAGATAGTGGGGCTTGTATAAGTTTTTGAAATGAATGCGATTTTCCAGTATTTCTAATAGTTTGAATTAATAAAGACATTTTTTGAATATTCAATTTGACAGGTGGACATTGGACAAAAAAAAATAAAAGAATGTTTTTCAAGAGTCTTCTCCAGGGAATCAAAGGAACTAATATTTTTCAGCCATAATATCTAAGATACAATCCTTTTACAATAAGCACAAAGGAGTTTTAATGACAAAAATAATTTAATGTATAATTATTCTAAACTATATCTTTCAGATGTTTATTTGTATTTGAGGTCCAATAACTGCACCCAATAAATTCTTTGAATCAATTTGTTCGACTGAGAATTGACATTGGCAGCACTAAACTGACAAATGACAGAAACCAAATTGAGTTTGCCTTTAAGGTTATTTTTATATTGTATTATTAATTTTGAAAATAGTACTTCTCTTATTTACTTTTATGCAGTTTAAAATATATCATACATAACATGGCTACAAGAATATTAGGACGCGTAATAGTTTCAACAATAATAAATTCATTTAAACCCATTGTTCTTAATACAATTGAAAATAACTACAGAATCGTTTGTGTTGATAATTTCAAATACACTACAGTTAGGAACTATGCTAAAACCAAAAATAAAGGAAAAGAAAAGAAACCCAAAGGTAAAGTGGAAATTAATACTCAGATGATGTCTGAGCTAGTTCCAGTAGAGAAGCTACAAGAAAGGTGTAATGCAGCTATCGAAAAGATGAAAGATGATTTCGCTAAGAACTTATCATTGCGCTCAACAACGGGATCTATAGAATCACTTCCTGTGAAATTTGAAGGAAAAGATTATGAATTACAAGAACTTGCTCAAATAGTACGAAAAAATCCTAAAACAATCGTTATTAATTTTGCTTCATTCCCACAAGCTATACCTGATGCTCTTAAGGCTATTAATGCTTCAGGTCTTAATTTAAATCCACAGCAGGATGGTACAACTCTTTATGTTCCTGTGCCAAAAGTCACTAAGGAGCATAGAGAAGCTCTAGCCAAAAATGCGAAAGCTTTGTACATTAGATGTCGGGATGCTGTAAAGGATGTACAAAATGATTACATTAAGAAAGTTAAAAAACAAACGGGTGTGTCAGAGGACCTTATTTTTAATGTAACCAAACAAATCACTGCAATGTGTGATGAATTCCAGACCTCTGCAAAAAATATTTATGAATTAAAGCATAATGAACTTGTTGGAAAGTAATAATAGTTATTATGTGTGCCATCCTTAACATTGTTTTTATATTTTAGGAATATTATTGTAACATGGCATTAATTATAATAAATGAATATGAATATTATAAAAATGAATGTAATATTTTATTTTAATATTAATGATTATTTTCTGTGTACTACTCAAAATAACCATTTCTTAATTTAGTTGAAATGGGTCTGTCAGAATTTTTATACTACATGCAATGCATATCACAAATCAGTACTTTCAATAAGAATATTGCTGTTTAAAGACAATTTCTAATTGGATTCTGTAAATTTATCAATTAATCCTAAATGTTGATGACATATTCAAAATAAAAACTACTACACTATGTCTGAAAACTGCTTGTAGAATTTGTTGTGAAACCATTTTATATTTCGATATTTTATTTTTTCTATCAATGACAATTAATTTGAATTTTTTCTTTATATTATTTCTATAAATACAATTAACGTATTAAAAATAGTCTGAACTCTATATCGACTATCTTTCTTCACCTGCTTCCTTTGAAACTAATTTTATTTATACTAATAAGATTACTCACATTAAACATTGAAATATGAAGAGGTTTCACAACAGAATTGTTTTTCATATATCCTCTATCCTCTTAAGACATAGATCAAACTCCACCAGATTTATTCTTTGTACTTTAAAACCTGGGAAGACATTGTAAATGAAAAAGGATATTTTCCAGATTAGAATTAGACAAAACTTTTCCTAGTACAGGCAGATCAGGAAGTAAATTTGTGCTTTCGTCTTTTTAATTTACATTATACAAGCTTATACCCGCGACTTCGGCCACGTAAACGGTATAAGGAGTATAGTACGTGTGATTAAAAATAAATAATAAAAAGTAGGTTATATCGCAACATATACGAAAATAAATGTAATTTATATAATCATACTTAATTGGTAGTCAAATTATAATTCGCAAGTCAAATTTTATGTGAATTTTATTATGAAATAAAATTAATATAAAGTTACAAATTAGAATAGCTTTTAATTGTTAGTACTCTTTTGAGTATTTTTTTTTTTATATTTATTTTGTGGTCAAATGATTAAATCGATGAAATAATCTTTTATAATCCAATTAATTATAGTTGATTTTGACGTCGTACCCAGTACCCATCACTACAACAAACTGTGATACATATCTAATTATATATGAATTTGTCCTTCACAATATTAAAACTCTGTAATTACATCAGGATGGATTCAATTATTTACTTTTTTCAAGAAAAATATCCGCAATGCAATTAGGGTAATATAAATTAAAGATGACATAAAAGAATGTATCTAAAGCCGTAAACTTATCATAAAAGAACGTGTTTAAAAAAAAGGCAAACAGCTGTTGTTTGTTTGTTTCCGCTTAGCTTATACCCTAAATCTATTTAAAGATTGTATTTATCCAAACAATGAATTCAACTAATAAGAAACAAGTGAAGAAATACGATAGAGTTATGTCTCGTGTGAATAATCAATCACGATCTACTTTAAAATCAAGTTCTGTTGTGACGTGCCACCACATCCCAACGTCTGCGCGTCTTGGCGCGAAAACATCATCAACAAACTTTAGTTCTTGTGTTTTTAGTGAATTGCCGATTGTTTTAAATGACTATGCACCCGATACTCGTACCGATGAACCGGTTCAAAAGACGTATGTCGTAAAGCCTCGCAAAACTATTAAATCATTAGATCCTGCGAAGTCACCTCACAGTTCCATACGAAAAACTCAAGAATTAATAAGAGAACCTTGTAATATTCGATCACAAAACTCTGCACCATCGGTGTTAGTTCAAAATTGTCATAGATATAATAGAAATCTCGATACTCATTTAAGAGAATGTCTGTCTAGTAGATCACATTCGAAATTGAAAAAATTAAAGGTATAGTATATTTTCGAATAATTTTAAAATTGATAATTGTAAAAATATCCCAGGTTTGATTCTGTGTTAGTCTAAATGAACATTAAACATTACCTGAACCCTAAATTGGTTTTATTGTAAGTGTTGTAATTTCATTTCTGAATATCTGATGATAACATCTAATATTTTCACATAATAATAAAGTGTATTTGAGGCCTATAAAATCAAAGACAGCTACATCCAATTTTGTCTAATATTCAGGGAACTACAAAAACTAATATGTCGTCAATGATATGGAACAGTGTTCTATATTTTAAACCAGACTGAAAAAATTTTAATATTAGAAATAATTTGAATTTTAATTAATAGAACTCCCTCTATATTTGAGTACAGAGTGAAAATGGACCGATTTTATGGCGTTTAGCTGCCTTTTACTTTATAGGCCTCATTTAAATATGTTTTCAATGTTCTATAAAATTTAAACACTTTTTGCTTTTTTAAATTTATTTTGTCCTGCTTTTAGTATGGGTACCTCTTTTTGGCTATAAGTTTCCTCTAGTTTATTTTTTTCTCTCGATTTTTCAATATAATTCATTCATTATTTTATTAAATATTTTATTTCTTATAATATTTGTTGGTAGAAAATGTTTCCATATATGTAGTTCTATAACTAGAAAGATAGTATGACCGCAATTATCATCATTATTATTATTATAATAATTATAAATAAATTAACTTAGGACAAGAGAAATAGTCTACAGTTACCTTGAATTAAAAAGCATGTTTATTAAATATTTCAGGATGAAATTGAAGCGTACAATAAAACTGAGAAAATGATGAAACTTCGTAGCCGCTTATATAAACGCTGTGGTGTGGTGTTAGATGATGCGGGACAGGTTGCCGAAGATAAGGCTGTGCAAGTGGAAGTTCCAGTGCCTGGTATGTAATATAAAAAAAATACCATTTCTATAACAACATCCTTTAATCTTATTAAAAGTAATATGTAGTTTCAACAATGTATAATAGATGGCGCTATCGGTTTATAAATGTGTGTATTGTAACATTTAATTCATATTCTATGAAACACATGTTGAATAAACGATAATAAATTCCATTTAATTTTAAAGGTAAATCCAGAATGAATATGAAATTTTTTATATTTTAATTTTTATTATATACTTTTGAAACTGATAGTTATTTTTGAACTCCTCTCATGTGGCCGAAATAGCTCAGTTGGGAGAGCGTTAGACTGAAGATCTAAAGGTCCCTGGTTCGATCCCGGGTTTCGGCATGAGCTTTTTTGAATTAATGATATATATTTTTTTCACTTTTAAAATTTTTATTTCCAGATAAATTATCCGTAGAATCAAGGTAAGTGCATCTTCAATAAGTGAATTGATCTCAGTTTCTGTTATTTTTTAATTTATTTAATGTATATGAAATATTATCTATTAAAAAAAATACTCCTATTGTATTTTTACATAGGATAATTATAACTATGTCAATTGTATTTTCGTATTCCTTAAAATTACGTTAAAATAACAATAAATTATGTACAAGGATGATGTAGTAATAAGGTTTTTATTGATAGGTAAATATGAAAAATATGAAATTATAACGCTGTCCGCGCTATTGGTTTAAGTAGTTGAACATGAAGTCAGGTCACTATGTTTTTTTGTAAGGCTTGCAAATATTCGACGATTTTGATATTCAAATATTCTGGTTTTTACTAAAATTTTAGGAATTTTATTCGAATATTCAAAAGAAAAATATAAAATAACATATAAGTGTATTGCTTTATAAATAGAGTATTTATTTATACTAATGACATTAAAAAATAAGTTGGAGTAGGTATTTTGGTAACTCCGCAGTCGAATGAATGGAAAAATATGGTAGAGCTGTGAAAAATGTGCCATTAGTTTTTTTTTTTTTATTTTGTTAATTATTTATTTAGGTTCACCAACAATTGTTTCCACAAAATAGTGTAAATATTTATACAATTATGGAGCTTAGAATTAAGTGTAACAATTTTTTAAAGGCAAACACGACATACCTACATTGGTACATTTATAACAATTAGTACGCAGAAAACAAATATATACAGCTTACATCTATTATTAAATGCTTAACATCTTAAGCCACTATATCCATAATCAGATCCAGCAACACGACTCATTTTATATATTTATAGACATTTCGTACAAAAGCCATTGGACTATCAAAATTAATATCGACCTGGTCACTGCAGCTATTTATAATTTTACAGAACCTTACAATTGTTAAAAGTATGTGGTGATTAATTGATCGCACTAGGCATAAAATGTCGTTATCTTTTAATAATCCCGAGATAACGCTACCCCGAGGGTTCTCTGAAGGACAGTTGCATATTAAGGAGACTCAAATAATCTTCCTGCGGTGACACTTCCTTAGACTTAACTAAGATCTCCTTGTTGGGGGGAAAGGGATTGTTAGTAATGGAGTCTAAAAATCCCATTGCTAGCAATATACCGAACCAGGTCGACCTCCTCGTGATTCCCCCTGGAAACTATCATGGTTAATTCCTGATGAATTCATCATGATGGGCTAACGGGCCTGTTTTCATTCTCATCGATCACCCTTCACTGGTGCTTCACCAGCGTATCCCGTTAGCGCAGGCGGGGTTACCATTTCATTTCCACCTATTAAAAAAAAAATAGATCTCCTTGTCCAATAAGAAATCATCAGAAACCAACACTACAGATAGGCATAACCATTCAAAGATGTTCTGGTAACATTTGCCGGGAATAATATCATCTAGTAGAAGGTAATACATATACAAATAGAGATAACTTATATTAATACTGAAAGTACACATCCATTTTTTTTTTCGAATACTGAAAATCGACGATATAGTGAAATGCAAAGAGCATCATTGTTATCATACGCTGTAAGGAAGAAATCGCTCGGTTCAAATTAATTTTATTCAGTGTATTTATTTTATTAATACAAAATGTAGGTGTAAAATTATTCAAACATATTCGAAGAGCATTGATTTTTTATTCGAATATTAGTTTTGAAATAATATTCAAATTATTCGAATGTAAGCTTTGGCCACTAGGGATAATTACAGGATGGTTTTCAGATGGATCCACGTGGTTTCTTTTTTAATAGATGATAATGAATGGCAACTCCTCTTGCGCTATCGGTATTTGCTGGCGGGGCGTTCGTGAGGGATAGGTTAGGATGAAAAATCATCAAGAATTAATTAATTAAATTCAGCATTAAGTCCGCCATGTACACATATTTGTACTAATGAATAAATAAATAAAAAAATAATCATGATGGTTTTCAGAGGGGACATGTGAATGTCGGTTATAGACTAGATTATTAATAATGCGGCTATTAGTCCTCATTTACTAACAATCTCTTTCTTAAGATGTAGGAAGGTATAAATAGATACTGTTTATGGTTTTTTTCCAAAAGATTACAATAGTAAACTTATTATAGATACGAACAATTATGATAATACGACGTATCTTTGGATTTCATACATACTCTACCCTAAAAACTTTTTAAACTGAACAAATTCATCATAGAAAGACGAAGACTGGTTAAAATTCCACGGTATTACTTTAGTCGTGGCTCCAGCGGACACTGAACATACCTATACTTCGATAAGTAAGTCTAATTACTTTGTTTTTTAAGTCGTTTGGAAGTCGACCTGATAGCTAGGATTAGATGTCCCCATTGCTAGCAATATACTCTATATTGGTAGTGACGGGGATATTAGACCCCATTACTAACAGTTCCTTTCTCTTTATAAAAATATAGTTATATGTATTATATAATCTAATAAAATTAAGTGTTAAATTTTTTTTTCTATATATCTGTTTAAATTTGCTAAACTCTGGAACAGATTTTTTTTTGCATTTGATAGCTCATTTCTCATTTTAGCTCATTAGTTTTTCTTCAAGTTATGGAGCTATTCAACATCACGATACGGCCACGGCTGAAGGCGCGGGATATAGCATATAGCTAGTAACCATATTTATATGACTTGTAATGGTAACACTGAACTTGTCACTCACGTAATCATTAGAGGTAACCCTCTTCTAGAGATATGAACGTAACAGATTATACTGCAAGTTCCACGGAGTGATTTCATTGCCACATACTACCCTCGAGTTTAAAACGTAAAAGTAATTTACATTAAAAATTCTTTGTAAATGTAGAAAACTAGCGGTTCCTTCCTCGATTTTGTCCTCGTGCGTTTACCGTATAAAAATTAAATTTTTTGTCACATAATTATCTGTATATTCAATTATATTCAAACGTATTTAGTTGTTTATGTATAATTGAGTGACGAGAACCTTATGAATGTTTTAATTTATAATATTTAAAAAGCAAAAATTATATGATCACGACTATAAAAATACCAAGCAATAGATTTTTAACCTCAGATGAGTAGTTAAAAGCATATTTTATGCCTGTTATTACTTATCAATTAATTTGCCTATATTTCATCGAGCATATTGGTAGATTTTAATGTAATAGGGAGTCACCCCTCAAGTTGTGTCTAATATTACGGAATTAGCTGTTATAAAAATTATGTCATATCTACTATTTAGATATAATGTGTTATTAATCGAATTTCGTATTATAAACTTTTCACGTTACTTAACGATTAAATATTTCAATAATTCAATATTTATAATTGGTTTTATAAAGATGTTTAACCATCACCAGAAACTTGATCGGAAAAGGGACACAATCTTTTTGATTAGATTGGATATGAACTTACGACTCCGTTTTTTTTTTAGTCACACTCCAGTAAATAAAGTTTTTAAGTAGCAATTTATTATTTTTCAGGCTTAAAAGTGCATCATAAAATGGGAACTGTAATTTCGCAACGGTCCGCATCGCCTCTTTAGCTCAGCGGTAGAGCGCTGGTCTCGTAAACCAGCGGTCGTGAGTTCAATCCTCACAGGGGGCATTCTTCTCTCCTTAATATATTTTGTTTTTATTAAATGTATTCATAACTTTTAAAAGTATTTTATGATATATTTCATTATCCTGTAATTTTTATGGATAATGTAATAATTCATTTAAGTATTATTGAGCGCAAGTATCTGATAATAGATTTATTTTCTCTTGAATAATTAAGTACGATTTACTCGAACGGAAATTTAGAGAGAAAAGGAAATTGTTCTTTGCATAGGTCTTTAAGAAGTTTTATTTTGAAGGGTAAAGAAACAAGTGTGATATGGTGTCATGATGTGAAGAGAACCTTTCCTTAGAAATGTCAACGAATACAATCCTATAAGTAAAAACTAGAAGCGTCACAATGTTGTGAAAGGGTCTTTTACAAATATGTGACATTCTTGGTTACAGTGTGTCAAAATGATACCCGATTCATGGTTTTGTTAATGGCCGTAAGCAACGTTTAGTAGAATAATTCCTATATGATATTTATGATAAACCAACTGATAAAAAGTGGCAAACGTCGTCCATAGAGATGAAAAGCACATAGACGTATAAAATAAAGCAAACAATTAATATCTATAACAAAATTATGATTTAAATTGTATATGATATTTAATATTATAAAATATTTAATTCAAATTTAAATCAAACAGATTTCTTTTGTGCGAATATACCTCGTTTATCACGCTCTTCTAAGGGACTACTATAACGTTTTGAAGCATCGAGGCTGAGAGAGACGGAACTATTTATCGGTACAGTACGTCGCGCGGGTTGTAAACGTGGCGCATGCCGCGCATGCGACGCTATTTTGGAAACAGTGTTGAACAAACAGCGCATGGAGAGCGCACGTTGTTATTTATCTTGCTTGTTTTCAAAGTCTTTCGTTTCTGATCCTCAATCATGTCAAAACAAGGCTTGGTCCTGTCAAATCAAAATAGAAACGCAACTCTTGAATTCATCAAGGACTACAAGGCCAATCGACTATTATGGGACTGTAATCACAAACACTACAGAAACGTCGACAAACGCATGTTAGCTTTTAAGGAAATGGGGCAAAAGTACAACATAGACGTCGTTGCCGTCAAGAACAAAATAAAATGCCTCCGATCGTATTTTATAAAAGAACATCAAAAAATGTTATATGCGAAAGGGAAAAATGCGAGAGAAGTTGAGAGCACGTGGTTTGCCTATAAACCTTTATTGTTTATCATGAATACAATGGCAGAAACAGGAGAATCTTCTTCCAAAGCAACCAACGAGGTACATGACCAACAGGTATGTTTAATTTCTTTTTGCAATTTGAAATGACAAACAAGCTGACAGGCAACTTAAAGGAAAATAATAACGGTCGCCTATAAATATGAATTGACATCACAAAATATACTGTGACGTGTATGGAGTTTGTCGTCCGTTGCCACTTCCGAGGAATAGGTAGTATGCTTGTTACCTCACAAGTTTAACAGCTTAAACAATCACTGTGAAGTTTGCTATACATGTGCTTTATTATTTATGGAGAATTAGATTTATTATTGAATGAATGAATGAATGAGTATACTTTATTTGCATTATACAATATAGGAAATAAACAAGACAATTTACAAACATAACGATACAATTGTATAAGTACAGTAAGGCGGTTATTATTTTATTATTAAATTTAGAAGAAGAAATTATTTATGAAGCAGGGCATAAGCTACTATATTTTATTTCGATCAGTTAGATGACGTATACCGGTCACGTGGCCGAAGTCCTAAATAAAAACTAGTGATCCAATAAACAGCGATGTTATTTATTGAACTGAACATTTTATATTTATATTTTTATCATATACTCGTATGTACTTTCGGTTATATATTGTATTTATAAGTTGGTAGGATATATATTTTTTTTACAAGTTACGTTTTAAGTTGTACGAATTATACAAATGTACAAAATTGTGTTTTGATATAGTTGGTAAAAAATTATGATTATTTATAATTTGATGTTATTGCAGTCTATGCAGATGGATCCTCTGCAATGTGAATCGGAGATTGAATGCGACAACATATCAAACAATTCGCGTGATGATACTTTATTCCAAGACGAAAACTCAACTTTCAATTCAGAATTAGGACCGCCAAGAAAGAGAAAATGTAGCAGAGACGAAAATTATTTTGTTATTGACGGAATTGATGATGTAAAGGATAGGAAGCCTCCAGAAAAGTCCTCTAATAAGGATGAATGTTCTACGTTCGGTGAATTCGTAGCTCATAAGTTAAGAAAGCTAAGTGTTAGAAATAGGGCAGAAGCAGAACACCAAATACATAGTATACTTTATGATTTAGAAATAGAAGAGTTAATAATGCAAGAAATGAAATAGAAAATTATGACAACTGTCTCCTTTGCAAGAATGCTATATAAATACATTGTTAAAGTTTAAAAAAAATATCTTTTGGTCTATGAGTTTTTTTTTTTTATACCTGTCTGTTGGTCACTATAGCTTATAGTCGCCTGCAACTTATACGTTTTCAAAAATAACGGGTGATAAAATCTATAAATTATTTTTTATAATTATAAAGATGTGTTTGTTAATAATAGCACAATTCCTGCAAAATTACGGTATAATGTCTAATAAATTGTTTATTTTTCAAAATACACATCTTTGGATTTAAAGTAAAATCGAATTAGAATCTGCGAAGATACTGCGTACATAATATGTAGGTACTTAAAAATAAAACAGCCTCCTACATTTGACCGACATAAAAAAATAAGTTCTTAATTCGGTTGTATTTTTTTGTGTTTACTGTCTCATAACTTCGTCACATATAAACTTTTTTTTTTTATCTAAAAGGATATGCTTTCAGATTGTTATCATAGAAATTTTATCTACATTGGTTCAGTAATTTAATTTTTATATCAAAATAACCGATTGAAGTCGGTGTTTATTTGTGAAACAAAATCTTAATTTTGCTATTATAAAAATAGCTCACAAATACAAAACCATCTTAACTAATAAAGATTAAGTAAAGATTTGTTTTTTTTTTTTGTTTTTAACTGTTTCACTCAAAATATATAAAATTATTTCACTTATAAAATATAAACATGGGTTGTATTTTATGTTCAGAAATACAGTGCGTAGCCGGAGCGAACTGCTAGTAATAGATGTGCCTAATTCACTTAAGCATTCACAAAATATCCTTACATTGTGAACAGCTGTCGAGTTCCTCAGGAACAGTTAGAACCGGTCGGCGTCTCATACCTGACCGTTATGTTTACCCGACCACGACAGGGTGGTGTAATTGGGGTCGTACAGTTCGCCAGGTGTCCTCGTTTTTTTTTCCTCATGAGAGGTAGAATTTCTTTGTGATTTCTTAGAACGCTTGCTTCAAGGTTATTGATGTTTCAAAATATGAGCCGCGTAATACTGTCGATTCATTCCAGCGGTAACATAAGTTATATTGAAGTGTTCCAATTTTTGGAATCATCGCTTTTCGTAGCGATGTTAAAAGCGTTATATTGTAGAGAAGCTCCCACTGTTCAAATTAAAACTATTAACAGGAAATAAATATTGAACACATTTTAAACAAATTACACTTTGAGTAATTGATTTTTCCTAAGTACCATTACTAGAAAATATAATATTTATCTAATCTAATAGGAAAAAATATAATATTTGTCTTTAATCTAAATATTCTAATATTAGTGAATAAGATAAACACGGAGTATTTACGTATCATCACCATATGCCCTAAGTATCTACTTAGATTGAAGAAAAATATTTCAAATTTAATTTTATTATTAACATCAATAGTATATGCTTATATACTCAATTTAATGAAATCCTTTTGTTTTTGAGTATGTTACTAATATTTTCTTTATTTAAATCGATGAGCCAAGTTATAATTGTATCATTTGAGTTTCGTTAGAATTTTTTTTTAATATAAAATAACGTGACAAATTATATATACCTAATTAAATAAAAATCTTCTCGTTAAAATTTACATATCTTACTAACATAATAAAATATAATAAAATAGTAACTAGACGATGCCTGTACATGGAAGATATTTAAGAAAACATAATATTCTTTATATTATAAGACACATCATCTTAATAATACCAATAGAGGCCAAAATAATATTTTTTGGAATTTTTGTCTATATGTCACACAAAACATATATATATATATAATGTTTTGTGTGAAAAGAAATGTATGTTTCTTAATTAATCACACTTAAAGGGCTGGATAAATATTTATAAAATTAGGTAAATAGGTGAACATATGTGCTGAATTACAAGTTATAGCTGATATATATATATATATATATATATATATATATATATATATATATATATATATATATATATATATATATATATATATATATATATATATATATATATATATATATATATATATATATATATATATATATATATATATATATATATACAGATTTTAAAATAGGCCTTCAGAACTGTCAAAACTAAGCATTTAATTTTTTTTTTTATGGAACTTAGAATGGCAAACAAGCTGATTCTTGAAGTCTTATTATTTCCAAATAAGAAATCATAAGACATGATGTTTTTAGCCATTAAAAACGAAATGTCGATAAATAATTTTTCGTCTAATTTTAATCTTATATTTTATTCTTTTTATTAAAACATGACATCACTGCATTATGTATATTATTATTATCAATAATAACAAAGCTATCAATAGTAGCCATAATTGACATACGTCCGCCGCGTCATTTCCGTTTCCTCTGGCGCTGTTCCAATCTATTCCTGACCTGATACCTACAATATTATGTGTACCTAGTGATGAAAATCAAATACATTCATACAGTTGTACTTGTATGATGATTCATATCATCATAGAACATAAATCACAGTGTTCTATTCGTTTCTTTGGTATGTCCGAATATGATATCCATATACATATGATATCCGAATGTTAAAAATACCTTTGACTCAAATTTTACTATACTAGATAATGTTTGTATATGGGGATATATTTTGTTTGTTCTAATATCACGTAAAAGTACTGTACCAAATTATATGCGATTTCATAGTTGTGCTCCTAAAGATCTAATTTAAAATCTGGTGTATGCTTTATCTGGATAGGTCTTTAAGAAGTGAAGTTTTATTGGTTTTCCTACTTCTGAAATTCTCGCGTACAATTCGAGTAGTGGGAGAAATATGATTCTATGTTCATTAATCGATATCGTTTGCCTTTATGTTAGTCCAATTTATGATATGATTATAGATTACTCTTCTGTACAAATGTAAACGGCAATTGTTCTGATAGCTCTCCTAATGTGATTGCATACTAACACCACGCGTGATAACCGTTGGCTATAAACATGAATGACTCCACTGACATTTTACGTGATGCCTGTGGCACTCATGCGTTTCCACTCAAGAGTACATAACTACGTTTCTTATATCAATCATGTCAATTTGCTTTCTTATCAACAAGGGAATTTGATCTCGGGTCTTATTTGTTATCCTTAAAATTCTAGGATTATACTTAGTTTTTAGATTATCTTGACTTGGATCAAATTTAATCAATCTCAGAATCTTGGATTTATTTACATAGATATTGAGTTTCAAATAATAAAAAATCCTTTACACAGATATCAATTTTATAATCAACAAATCAAAATTTTGACAAAAATCACGTATTTAAAAAAGTTGGTGCTCTTGACTTTGGCCGAATTAAATATGGCGGTCATGCAGTGGTTCCATCACTGTCTGTCTGTCAGTATCCAAATTATTCAGAAGTTGTGTTAAAAACACCGTGACGCTCAGCGCCAAGCTAAGGATTCGAGGAAGATCATGTTGTACGGTTGACTTGACACTAACACACGCGGCTTTTACGAAACTACATAATATAGTAAACTTCTAAACCAATTTATTTTAAAAACTAAATTTCAATATTATTCCAAGAATCCATTATCAGTCTACCTGTTAGTATTCTGATAGACGAGGAAATGGTGTAATCCTTTGTGTTTGGCACGTATGAAATAGGTACGTGTAAGTACGTAAAATACCTATTCAATTCATATAATAATCGGATCTTAATTTCAATCAAATTGAAATACATATTTTAAATTGAAAATCCACTGGTGTACTCGTAAGATATACCTACATATATCAAGTTACCACCGAGAATGGTGTAAAATTATGTAAATCACAAACTTATATTTGTTTCATAATACTACATTTGTTTATAAGAGTTGTTAAATGTTAAAGTGGTAATGCTGACACCAGTAGTTCGGGGCAGTCTTCGGCTGAAGGTCGTATTACTATAGGTGTTACGTTATTTGCTTTCACGCGGTCACTAATCTACTATGGACAGAAATGGATAGAAATGGGACAACCAGCTTATAATTAGTAATCACTCAATTAGTAATTACTCACAGGCTTAAGCATACTTGAAAAAATTAACTCTATAAAACACCTATGTAATAGTTTTATTTAAAAACCCAAGTTTCCTTCCTTAGCTTTATTCGGACACATTATCTAAGCACCCGAAAATGTATTTCATTATCGAGATTCGAAAAACAAGGCAAGTTAAGACCATAGATATCACAGAACGTATTGTGATATATGGGTTCCATAGATTCTGTGATGATGACAGTTGTTTTGTCTCATTCATTAGGTCTCATGCGTGAGGTTACCTTAGGTATCACATCTATACTTGTACGTCATCATTATATCTATAAGTGGTGTTTACTACTCTCTACCAGGTGGGCTTATCAGCTTTTTATTTACCATTTCTAAAAATTGCAAACAGTTGCTTATTTTCACGTGATGGTAAGTTGTTGTGTGTAAAATTATTTGTGAAAATAATTATTAAAACTCAAGAAGATTTTATATCTATCTTAAATCGATACTCGTTATCGATAGAATCATGGAATTTTATTCTTATACCAAACTGGCAAGTTATCTAAGCTTTCTAATCGAAATAGTTAAGGTAAGGTACAATTTGTTACTGGCGCGAAGGGCACGCTTTGCGGTCACCGACCGGGTCGACGGCCTGCGCCAGCGCAGCTTCCCCTCCCCCAATGCACCTCGCTGCAATCTTGCTTGCATTCCCTTTAGTACAATGTAATGCTTCTCACCGTAAGAGCCTCAACCTTTTGTGTGGAATGCCGTGATCACAATACATAGGTACGACAAACTGAATTATGCCCGAACGAAGCCAGATACAATAACCTATGAACAATATTTATTTATAGTTGAGTACCATTTCTGAAAATAGCAAAAATTTCTCTTGTAATTTTGTTTGTTGTTGGTAGATACAACACCATACTGAAGCCAAGCAAGTTCATGAAAATTGCCCTAAACAAATTTATTTTTAAGCAGAAAACAAAAATGTTAAGTTCTAAAGTAAAATAAGTTTCGAAGTAGACAATGTAAACTTCCGAGTCGCTGTTGTTTGTGGGGAATTTATT